TTAGTCGACTAGTATAGGTACACGTCTCCATTGAAGAGCACATAACATAACCTGTGAAATGGACCTCGTGTTTTAAATAAAGATGTCAATCAATCAAAAATGCGTGATATTGTATCGCAATGTATGATACAAGAAAGGTAACATTCGACAGCTAAAAGCCTGATCTTAATTGGTATAAAAAAACAAATGGATAAACGATATATAATGCACAATAACATGTCAAAACTGGATAAACAACCTAGCAATAGACCAACAAATATGTGCATGTAATATCAATATATATATGAACATGCATATGCGTGATATTGTGTCAGATATAATATTTATTAATTATTAAGGTAAAATTGAACACAAATTCTCATTTTACTGATAGCCAATGAAATGCGTTCTATGCATTGCACTCCCAACCATGCACTTTTATTCCTTATACGTAATATTAACATGTACTGTAAATATATATAATATATGCATAGGTAATATATTGTCTTGCCGCCGAATTAAGTAAATATCAACCAAAAATAATGATATTGTTTTGTGATTGGCTTCATAAAAAAATAGTGACCAGTGTTTATGACTCGTTCTTTAGAAAGATAATTTCTGTATATCGTAGTTCATTGTCTTTTATTGTTATGATCAACCAATCACAAAGCCTGTTCATGTAGGTTGGTGGCAACCCGCCGAATTTCCTGCTGCAGTGAACACCACGGTCAAACGTCCGCGCGTATTTACTGCCTGTATTCAAAATATCTAGACTGGAAAGAGTACTGTCCCCATGAAGCTCTAGCAAAAAGTTTGAAGAAAATTGAGAGTGTTTTTAAACACTCAGTATAACTTCGTCTTTGTTTCTAGCCAGACGCCATATTAGAAGAACAACAACAATGTGCTTTTAATTCATGGTAATTTATACTGTACAAGGCTAATTTATTCAATTACGTAACATCTTCCTTCTATAAATTAAAAGTTTAAACCCTTTTTTTTGTCCCACAGTTCAAGGGTTTTCTTTGAATTAAACAGCTAAAATCTCTAACGTTGTAATATTAAATATTTATAGTAAATGTTTTGTACAGGGCTACCATCCATGTTCTCTGTTGGGGTGCTCCGCCAATCAAATATTGCTTTCCAGACATCATATCCACTTCTCTTAGCTTTCTTTATTACATTCTTGGCGATTGTCACTGCCGATTCTACTTCCCCGTTGGCTTGGCTGTGATATGGTGAGGTGGTGGTGTGTTCAAACTCCAAGACACGGGCAAAACTTCTAAATTCTTCACTTCCAAACTGACCACCATTATCACTTACTACCACGTCGGGTACACCATAACGACTAAAGTGCACCTTACTTAGCTGTATGATGGTTGATGTCATATCTGGTAAAATGTCAACTTCCCAAAAGTCTGAATAGACGTCAACGGTAATCAGGTAATCTTGGCATTCCAGAGTGAAGATGTCCATGGCTACTCGATTCCAAGGACATTCAGGAATCTCGTGTGTCATTAATGGCTCTTTGCGTTGGGATAGCTGGTACTCATTACAAGGGTTACACTGTCCGACCATGTCTCGTATTTTCAGGGTAAAAAGTCTTGTCCGTTAAACGTAAATTGGGAAAGTTTTTCCGACCGATCAAAGGAATAAGTAGTGTTTTTTTCCAACGTGTTTCTCCTTAGATGCAAACAACGGTAGCTTGGTTTTGTACATTTCATTTCCGGTGAATGAACACGGATGCACACCGATTACACTTTGTTTTGTACATTTCATTTCAGTAAATACACACCCAATATGAATGAAACGCGATACATTTTGAGAAAATAGTTAATGGGAAAAAGTAAATAATACGTTCTTTGATATAATAATATAAAATCAACCCAAAGCACTTTCTCATCAGAAAAAATGAAAATCTTCCAGTAGACCCAGTTGGAAAAGCCCCTTAGCTACTTCAATTGGGAAGAGTCCGTCAAACGGACAGTATATGGGCTAGCTAACACCCTGATTTCCCTGCTCATGTTCAGCCAGTATAGAATATCTCAAGGCATGATTCTGCTCCAAGATGACTGGCGTGTATACGGACCAACATTTCTTGATGCATGGACTTGGGAAGGATGATCCTGGAACGCTTAAATAGGACTCCATTCTGAGTTGTTAATTCGTCCTTATAATTCCAATACTCCTGAATGATCTCTGGAACATTTTTCTTCGAATGATCGTATCTGGCCAGCCTGATAACTGTAACTTCATAGCGGTGACTTCAATATTTAGAGAGCTGCATCTTGCATGGTCTGCTGCTGTTTCTGCCGAAGTCTGCTATCTGTAACTTTCAGAAATTCCGTTTGGTTGATGGTCTCGAGCTCTTCTTCAAACGCCGTCTGCTGATTCAAATTGTTGCTGGATTGCTGGCTCACATTGAAGATCTGATCAGCCAGTGTGTCTGCGCTCGCTTGTGTCTAAGGTGGTGCTGCCTCGGAAAGAGTATCTGCGATGTACATTTCTTTACCTTTCTGATATGTCACATCAAGGTTGTACTTTTGCAATCTTAGTAACATCCGTTGTAGACGACAGGGCGCGGTCAATAGTGACTTCTTAAAGATGATCTCCAATGGTTTATAATCAGTTCTAACATTAACTTTCAGCCTCCCATAGGCATAGATATACTGGTCAAAACGCTCGCACAAGAATACGATAGCCAAGCATTCTTTTTCGATTTGAGCATATCGGCGTGCTATGGGAGTCAAGGATGTTAAAGCAAAAGCCACTGGTTGCCTATTTTGGAGGACAGCACCCAGGCCGACGTCGCTGGCATCACACTGTATGGTTACCTCTTCTTTCACATCATATTACCGAAGTACAGGATGACTCGTTACCAGCTGTTTAATGCGCAATGACTGCATCATGTTTCGGCATCCAACACCAAACTGCATCCTTATCAGTACGACGACTGAGTGGTTCGCATACATCCGAAATATGCGGCAGACACGTAACCAAATAGTTGACGAAACCCGAAAATCGCTGTACCGCAGGCACTCTATCAGGTTTACATCGAACCTAGTGTATTTCTCTTGTATATCTCCCGACCCTAGGCACAAACAAAATGAACACTTCATGCTGTCGCCTTTTGGAACTCTTCCGGTGCTGTTGATATCCCAAATGACATGCGTAACCAGTGATATATTCTAAAGGGTGTCCAAAACGTTGTCAAATAGCTGCTCTCTTCTTGGAGTTTTACTTGCCAAAATCCATCTTTCGCATCCAGAACTGAGAACATTTTGACACTCGTGAGACGTGGCAATATGTCATCAATGATAGGTTCAGGTATTTTGGGTCAATACAGATTCGCAGCTTCCCTGTTACCTTCCGCACAGCGACCATGCTACTGATCCACTCAGTATAGATTTCGTAACTTTAGCAATTACTATTCCTTGTTCTAGTTCTGCGATTTTCTTCTTTAATTCCAACGTTAAAGGAATTGCAACTCTTTTGGGTTGGGTTGGTGCTGTACAGGTTTTATCACGTTCTTGTCAATGTAATATTCCCCTGGTAAACATCCACATCCGGTGAACACATCTCCATAGTTTGCGCTTATGTAGTTGTGGGTGACAGGTCTCTTTGGGACTTCAGCAAAGTTGATCTTTGGTTTCGCATGCTTCGTTGTATGGACTGTCTCGCTTACATCTACAGTTAATAGCCCATACACAAGGCTTCTGATCAATAGAAAATAGAACAAATGGTTGTTTCCTTTCTGGTTGCAATGTAGTTGGCAAGTTCCCAATCGGTATCATTCATCACTGACCCATCATACAAGCGAAGTAGATTTCTGCAGCTGGGGGTCTCCGACTCTCCGTCTTGGGCAATCTTGCAGTATTCGATATAGCTGATTAGGCTACATGTGGATCCACAGTCCATTTGGCAAGGTACTGAACGTGATGCTTTGGTACGATTTGATACCATTTCTCACCTCTCAACTTCACCGTGCCAACTGTGTGTTCGATACCGTATAGTGACTCTTCAGATTCTGATGATAGCTCATCCGACATCATATTCACTTTGCTAGATCTCTTGGGTTGCTGACAAACTTTGGCAAAATGGTTCATCTTTTTGCAACTGTTGAATATTTGACCGTATGCTGGGCACCGCTTTCTATCTAGCTTGTGTTTTCCTGCACAATATTTACAGGTCTGAAAAGGCGCTTTCTGTCCGGACTCTTCATTTTCAGTCTTCAGATGCTTCGAATTAGGCTTGCCTTTCTTGCTCTTAAGAGTATAATTAGCCGACTCTCTGTCGTTGCCCAATTTTTGCAGCTGTGACTTGATAATTTCACTGTTTTTGCACATCTCTATTGCTTTATTCAGATCTAACTTGGGTTCTCTGAGCATTCTTGCTCTAGCACTAGCAAATATAAACTGGTTTGTTCGTTTCTTTTAATAATATCAACCCCTAGTATACAATGTAATGTTTCTTTTCTCTCTGTCCTTTCCCGCTCTTTTTAACTATCCTCCATCGCTCCTGATGTCCCGCTTTGTCCAACATTAACACAATATATACATATACATCATCCCCTATCACAAATAGATAAAATGAATACTGTTCGTAAACATTCGTGTTTACTTGTAAACTGGAATGGTCGTCCGTTTCCGTTGACTTCGTCTAGGCGGTGGTGCTGTATCTCTCTTTTCCAGGCGGTAGCTCTCGTCGTCGTCATCGTGCTCAGTACTTCTGGCCATTGGATGTCGGCGTACTGCATGCACTCCTGTTTCTCTTCGCGGTTGTCCGGTCGACTTTTCGAAGGTTTGAGATCATCCGGGTGTCGACACAGGGTGAGACCGCTTCCTTCTTGTTGTACCGTGACTATGTTCCCCTCCCTGTTCATATCAATGATCTTGAACGCTTCCTGGAGGAAGAGAGTGTCAAACTTTCTTGATTTATTGTAGTTTCTGATCAGGACATTGTCGCCGATTATGAAATGAGATTTCTTCCGGTACTTGGAGCCATTTACTTTACTTTCGTTTTCCATTTTCTTCTTCTGGTCTGCTTCTCGTGCCCTGCTCATCTCTTCGTCTGTTGCGTGTCTTCTAGGAAAGTCCAGGCGTTGTCCATGGCGGAAAATCATAGCTGCCGGTGGAAGATTGGTTGCCGGGTGGGTGTCTGTCTGTAGTTTTTCAAGACATTTTTTAGGCTTTCTTTTTCGGGAATACCGCTGTGATGCCCAGTTTTCATAGCCTTGCCCAAGGGCCGCATAAAGGTTTCGACTGGGTTCGAGGAGGGCTGTAGTGGTGGTGATTTCTGTAACTTGATGTCTTTGGTCTTGGCGAAGTTTTGCATCTGAATGCTGTTGAATGGTGGACCATTGTCTGAAATCTGCACATCTGGGTTGCCGTATGTTTCGTAAATTTCTGTCAAGACTGGTATGACTTTGTCTGCCTTTGTTGATGTGACTAACTTTGCTGCAGGATATCTTGACGCTAGGTCTTGTACTACCACCACATGTTTAGATGATGGCATTGGTCCGAATAAATCCACTGCAACTGTTTCCCAACACTTCTCTGGTACTCGGTGTGGTTTGATCGGCTCCTTCGTCTTCTTATCCACAAATACATTGCAGTCACTGCATGACTTTACAAACTCTTCCACCTTCTTATCCATGCCGTGGAAGAAATGATATCTAAGCCGTCGCTTCAACCCCTCCTGTCCGGGATGGGCTCCCTTGTGTGCAATCTGGATAGCTTTTTCTTGGAGCTTAGTCGGAAGGATGATCCTTTCATCTTTGAGGATTATGGCATTTCCTGTAACTGTGAGTTGTGGAAGGATGGGTCGAAAACGTCGAACTTCGGCAGGTTCTGTCTTTGGGATCCAAGCCTGTCCCTTCTTAATGAGTGCCACTATCTTTTGCAGAGTCTGGTCTTCACTTGTGGCTTGTACAATAGCACTAATACCCACGCAGTCGATGGCTGGTGTTGTATGAAGTAGGTACAGGAGATTATTGAGGTCATCCGCTTCAGTTTGTTCCTCCCGAGGTAATTTCTCGATTGGTTTCGCGTGTCGGGATAGGTAGTCGGATTGGTTAACTTTTCCACACTGGTAGATTACCGTAAATCTGATGTCTTGATGGCGGAGCTTTATTCTTTCTGTACGAATCGAGCCTTTACGGTTGCCGTTGAAGATAGAGCATAATGGTTTATGATCAGTTATAACCTGGATATCGGTTGGGGAACCAAGGATATAGTTGCGAAATCGTCGTAGAGCAAAATCAATACCAAGGGCCTCAAGGTCGATTTGTGGATACCTCCCTTGTTTGTTGTTCTAGAAGCTATAGCAATTGGTCTTACGCTCTCTGGTGTATCTCCTTGTGCCAGCATGGCCCCAAGTCCAGTAGTGTGTGCATCGGTGAAAATGAAAGTTGGCTTGCTCATGTCGAAATACTCGAGTAGGGTATTTACTGTGAATCATTCGATTAATGCTTCGTAAGCGGCATGGTGTTCTTTCGCCCATGTGAATCGACTATTTTTCTTGGTCAGTTCTCTCAGTTTGGCCGCGTGTTGTGCGAAGTTTGGAATGAAATCGGCATTGGACTGCATCATACAGGGAAAATTCTTCCTTCGATCGAGGCGGTGTGATGTGCTTTAGTGCTTCCACTTTGGCGGGATCTGGTCGTACTCCTGTGGAACCAATACGCAAACCCCAGAATTCGATCTCAGTGGCTCCGAAAGTGCACTTGCTTGGATTAAGGGTTATACCAGCGTTAGTGATGGCTTGCATGACGGCAGTAATCGCGGAATGGTGTTCTGCATCGGTTTCTGTTGCAACAATAAGGTCATCATGGATGAGGTGTGCTTGTGGAATATGTGCGAAAAGCGGTTGAAGAGCCATGTTAAGTTCTCCTTGTGCTGGCTTTACGCCCATGGTGAGTCGCTTATATCGGTATAGTTTATCGTTTGCGTGGAACACCGTAAGGTACCGGGAATCTGGGTGGAGTTCAAGTTGCCAAAAGGCCGATTTAAAGTCCATCTTCGAGAACACCTTCGCTCCGCTAAGTTTAGCTTTAATGTCTTCTTGCCTTGGGATGGGCAGGTTGGAAGCTTGGATCGCTTTATTCACATTGCGAGCGTCAAGGGTCATACGAATGGCGCCGTCCGATTTGGGTGCAATAACTGCGTTTGACACCCAAGGTGCTGGTTCTGTTGGTGGATGTTCTTCAATGACATCTTGGGCTACCATCTTGTCAATCTCTGTTCTGATACGTTCCTTCAAGTGATATGGCACTGGTCGAGCTGGGGAGGCAACGGGTTTAACACTGGGGTGGACATGCAGTTTAACTTGGTGGTTTTTCAACTTTCCAAGCCCTTCAAAATTCTGCGGATATTTCTTTAAGATGTCTTCAAGCGCTTCCTTTTTGCTACACTGGATCATCTGTACTGGTTGGTAAACTTCGGCCTGAGGGTCAAACTGGATTATCCCCAGTTGTACTGCACTTTGTCCTGCAAGTACAGGTTCACATGGTGTATCAATTATGTGCCAATCAACTGGAATGGATGTGGAGCCAAATGTGACAGCGCATTTGGCAATTCCAATAACTGGTATTGTCGGGCTGTTATATGGCTTGATCTTGGTCGTGGTTGGGACCATTCTGGACAGGAGGTTCCATTTTTGCGCTTGCTCTCTTCCACAGACGCTGATACTTGCACCTGTGTCAGCCAACACTTTTGCAAGGCTATTGTTGATGATGACTTGTGCGTTGAAATCTCTGGTCCTCATGCGTCACTTATGAGGAGGTTGTTGCTGAGGTGTTTCTGTTATTCTGAAGATGTTGATGCTGTAGACGCCGCTGTGGTCATGATCTTCGATTTGATGTGCTTGTTGTTCGCTGTAGTTTTTCAGTTCATTGATTGCTTTCTTCTTCCTACATACAGTTTTATAGTGGCCAATTGCATCACGGAAGTTACATTTGCTGGTTCGTGCTCTGCAGGATTTGAGGTTAGCAATAACGGATGTCTTGATGTCTTGTCCGCAGTAGTAACATGACCTGGGCTTTCCAGCCTCAGGTTTTTTCTTCATGTTTTTAAAGGAGTATTTACCCATTTTGTTGACTGGATTTTCATTGTTGAGCTCTTCCAGTCCTTTGGTGGCACTTTCAATTCGCATTCCTTCCTTGCGTAATTGTTGGAGGTCCCATGAATTCTTGAGTGCTTCCTCTCTGATCTTGTCATGTGTACTGCCAATAATAATCTGGTCACATATGGCTGTATCTTCGGCAGTGCAATCGTCATTGTGGCATTTGAAATTGCAGTGTTGAACTGCTTTATATACGCAAAATGTCGGAAATGACTCATGGGCGTCCTGTGCCAAAGACCGGAACTGATGGTTTTTAAGTGTAAGATTTTCTGTTGGTTTGTAGTGCTGTTGCATTGTTGTCACGAAATATTTCCACGTCACCTTAGCTCTTTTGGAATCATCCGGTTCTGCAACTTTCCAGTCAGCAAACAATCGTTTCGATGAGAATGTACCGAGGAGTTTTGTCACGCGATCTTTTGATCGCCATTCGTCGCGAATGTTGTCATAGTCATCAAGCTTTGACTTTTTATCGTCGTTTGCGAGTTTCCATCGTTCAATAGCCGCATCTAGAGATGTTTTAGGAGGATCAGGATTTTGTGCATCATATCGGAGCTCGAAGCTCTGGATAAATTCGTCAAAAGCACATAAAGTGTCGTCTGGATGAAGATCAGAATCAAAATATAGTGTTGATGTGCTCGTCATGGCCGCCATAGTGGTCGGTATTTCAGCTTTTGGTGCTTTGTAGTTGTATATATCTGATTGTGACATAGTCAGTGTCAGGATAAGTGATTTTTTTAATCCTCGTCGCCAAACATAAACTGGTTTGTTCGTTTCTTTTAATAATATCAATCCCTAGTATACAATGTAATGTTTCTTTTCTCTCCGTCCTTTCCCGCTCTTTTTAACTACCCCCCATCGCTCCTGATGTCCCGCTTTGTCCAACATTAACACAATATATACATATACATCACTAGCGTCTATCGTTCCTAACACCAGGCGATCTCGAATAAGCTCACTCTCCAGCTAGACCACCAAACTCACACGTTGATGCCAGTTGTCGAAGTTTCGTTATATATTGTGCCAGTCTCTCCCGGGCTCTGTTCGCATGTATTAAGCTTAAACCGTTCGTAAATAACAATCCGAGTCGGCTCGAAATGCCTTTGCAATACTCCCAATATCAGAACAATCTTCTTTCTATTGGCTTCGCTAATATCGATGTGTTTAAACACTCTTTTCCCATGATTGATAACAGCGTCGCGATTTTCACTGGCTCCTCATTTTCGTTTAACTGAGTTAAAATCTCATAATTTTCAAATTGATCTCGAAAAAAAATATGTTTTTTTATTGTACCGTAGACATTAAATAATGTATTTACAGGCGTATTAATGATTCACGAAACCTGTTGAGGCTATAAACTCAACGAGAAACTCACTATCCTGACACCACGTTTTAAAACATACGCCGTATTAAAACAACAACAACGTGCTTTTAATTCATGCTAATTTATACTGTACAAGGCTATTTATTCAATTACGTAACAGTCTTGACACAAGGAAAAGCGGTGAAATCCTCTATCTTATAGCTTTATATCCTTATGGTAAACGCTTATTCCTGATTACTTTGGCAGACATATTTCCCGCCATTTCCGTATACTCGCGCATGCGCTTTACGTTTGCCGCGGTGTTGCTGCAATGTGATATTCAACGAGTGCACCCCATAGTTCACCCTGGGGTATTCGCCGAAAAATTCCATGGTTATGTGGTGCAAACCAATTTATGCGATTTGAGAAGTTCAGGTAATAGAGAGTTTAAGCTTCGCGTTATACGTCAAACGGCAAACGCCAGGCAAAGAAAAACGTACGGTATCAGGCAATAAAGAACAAATGAACTTGTTGTTTTAAAACTGCAATACATGATTATTCTTTTGACACAAGAAAGAAAATATGAAACGAAAACGTTTAACGGAAATTTTGCCAAGAAAGTTCGAACCTGCCGTTTGCCGTTCCCGGAAACGTGAAGCTTAAACTCCCTAATAATATAAGCATAGGTAAAGGTATGCATGCACGAGTTTTTCAAAGACGATCGAATTGGCACAAGTCCCAAGAACGTGTGCTATTTGACGTCTTTGAAAAACTCACAAGTGTTTTTTTTTCGAAATTGGAGAAGAGATCATACTATTACTAATTAATATATTGTCATTTTCGCTAAAATTTATACTCTTCAAGTAATATATACTATAACTCGTAAATATCTTTAAAATACTCATTAAAAATGCATAAACCTTGTGGCAAATCATGTCAGCCATAATATGGCACGTGGAGTGACTTTATATCTGATAAAACTCATCTTCATTAGTATTCTTTATATAATTCTTCATCCTAATTAGTATGATTATATAATTGTTCATCCTAATTAGTATTCTTTTGTAGTCGTATTTTAAGCTATTCAAAACACTCGAACCCGCGTTTTATCATATCTAAAACGCTCGGCTGCGCCTCGCGTTTTAAATATGATAAAACACTCCTTCTCGTGTTTTAAATAGTACTAAAAGGTACATATCTTAATTTACAATATTTTACAAGAATACGAAATTCTACATTTTATATTTAAAAATAAGTCTATTTGCTTAGCAATTTTTATATCTATTAGAATTAATTCTAGGATGGATAGAGCTTTGTAAGCCACCTTAATCATTGTTTTCATTGCTTGTCAGCAAAGATTTTCAGTCTACGTGCTTCTTGTGTTTAAATTGTTATATTCACGTACGATTATTAATTGAAACTATACAAAAAGTCGTCAAAAAAGTGAAAATGCACATCGCTAATATCTGCCGCCATGTCGATTTTCCTGCCTCGTTTCCAGGCTCTGTGCTATTTTTGCTAATTGCATTGTAGTAATTGCACCGCAGCGCAATTTCAAATATAATTGTACTGCTTTTAGCAATCATGCAGAATTGAGTACTTTTTTCATATATATTAGATATGTAACTATAATACCTTCTTACGCTCCTGATCAACTTTTCCTGAAACATTTCCTGAAAGGAAATAAATTGTGATATTTTAATATAACATCCAAGATTTCTCATTGAAAAGATCTAACTTGTATTGATTTAGGGGTCGTCCATAATTATCAACATTTTCACAAGAGTACAGAGCGTACTCATTCTATCAACCTCTCCCTCTTCTGAGAGCGTACTCTCGTAATGTTAAATCTCAGGAATGATGTTAATGTTGAGAAAGTAAAATAATGTGTTATTTATGTTAAATTAAGAAAACTTACAAATTGGTTTCATAGGAAGACAATATTTGACGCATCCCCCGCACATCACGCACCCCACACACATTATGCACACCCCACACACATCACGCACCCACACACATTACGCCCCCTCCCCGATATTCATAATACAGTAGAATCTTAATAAATTATGTCCTCTCCCTTGGCTAAATAGTCAACAAAATGGGCTACCCAAACAACCTTGACAGACAGACACCACAATGCTGCAGGATAGGCTTGTCAGCTGACTAAGCTAGACGAATTCGGGGGGCGATATGCGATGTGCCACAACAGCGGAGTGGGAGAACCACATAACTGTATAGATTTCACTCAGATCACATAATTTATTATCAATATTATAAAGGCGCACTTTTTAAAAGTGTGCAGTATGAATATATTTAGTCTAGTGATTGTCTATTCATCCAACAAACACAATGTATAAACTAATTTAATTTTTATGTCTGTGATAATCTTAATTTTACTATACTTACTACCTACCTCGAACTTGCAAGTTAATAACATTGTTATCACCAATGATAACATTCCGACAATTGTTATTAACAATTGATTTTGGATGGCTTTGCCTTTCATCCTCGTTCTCCATCGCAAATTTGCAATCCAAGTACTAATTCATATCTAGTATAAAAAGACCTAATAAATATACACCATAGAATTTTATTAGGGGCTCATCCATAATTATCAACATTTTCACAAGCGTACAGAGAGTACTCTTTTTAACCCCTCCCCCCCCCCTGACGCAGCAGCAGGGCTGTTGCAAAGAGCAGGGCTGTTGCAAAGAGGTTTAAGCAGGGGGGGTGTGTATTGTATTTGAAGACAAAAGGGCATGGTCTCTGTTTGCTCAGTTTAGTTTGGGGGGCGGGAGGGGAATGTATTTCCTTAGAAATTGCTGACAAATTCTTCATATTCCAACAACTTGTTTCCTGGGGGTATCACACCCCAACACCCCCCTTAGCAATTGTCTTGCACAAGAGAGTGAATAAAAATATGGCCGCAACAACTGATAAATGATATTGGGCCATTTTTCAGTTGCCCTTTCTGAATTTCAGTAGGTAGTTGGATTTTGTCTTCTGAAGTATTTTCTTTCACTTTAAAAAATCATGGCATAATCTGAACAATGCTGTTGAATCATTATTGAACATTTGTAATTCTCATTTTAATCCCAGGCCTGCAAATTTTTAATAGTGCCTGTCATTGGACATTGTCCGGCCAAATTTTACCTTATGTCTGATAATTAACAAATATAAAACATTTTCCGTGTTGATATACAGTTATATCAACACGAGTGGAATTGGGAAAACGAGAAATTGTATGGAAACACGACGCCCGAAGGGCGGAGTGTTTTCATACAATTTCGAGTTTTCCCAACTTCCACGAGTGTTGATATAACTATATATCAACACGGAAAAAATGTTTTATATCTGTTTTATAATATAGCAATGTCAAAAGCCCGAAGGATAAGGAAAATTTCCGTACAGTTACAAGCGGCGGAAAATTTCCCGTGTTGACATGGAGTTATATCAACACGGCTCTTAGCCAATCAGCGTTCAGAATTTACAAATGCTATATTATAAAAGCTTTTTATAACCGGACATGTGACCGACCAATTTAGGCTGGTCAAATCTCCAATCTCAATGGACGACTTATGCTTTAGAAAAATTTTAATCTGGGAATAACAAAGGATCTTTTCTGAAAGAAGTTATCAAAATTAAAAAAACTGCAAAGTTTGGTTGCGAAATGTTGTAAAATACAGAAAATATAGCCCTGCAAAGTTGGCAAACTTGTATACATTTCTATTACGTGCGGAAATTGGTAACTAATTTAGTTACCAATTCACGCACGTAATACAAAAGTATACAAATTTGCCAATTTTGAAGGGCTATATTTTCCGTATTTTACAACATTTCGCAACCAAACTTTGTAATATTACTAATTCCAAGACGCTCTTTCCAGCTGTGGTGATAGATTTCGTTGTTCTTACTTGGATTAAAATTTAGGCTAAAGCGCAAGTCGTCCATTGTTTATTTAACACATTTTTTATTTATTTAATGAAACCAACAAGAAAAGCTATATAGACAGCACTTCTCCACTATTTCTTGCTGCATCATGGTAGAAATTAAAGTTATATCCTGAAATATAACTTACTGATGCATTAGGAGTAGGACTGGAGTGGTAGATATTTACCGTACATTGCACTGCGGACTAACATGACCATGCAGGCAAAAAAAATCGTGCTAATTTAAAAAAAAATATATGAAAAATTTTACTTTGTAAAAAAATTGATAAATATATATGACCAATTTTTGGCTTGGCCAGACATTTGTTCTTCCAAGTAAAATAATTATTTGCAGGCCTGTAATCCTAATGGATCCTAATTGACTCTTTCAAACAGGAAGTAAGGAAACTCTTTGTAAAAGTAAAATTTATATTGCGATTCTTCAATACTTTACCATTCCAAATATTTTTTTCAGTTGCCACAAGGTTCAGTTACCTTTGGCAAAACTCTGGTTGCCAGATGAAAGTACAGTTAGTATAGCGGTACTGTATATATTTTATTTTATAACTGGGAGCACTTGCATAATATGCAATTGTAGGCCCTCCAGCAGGGTTTAAACCCACATTTTATAAAGGTTTGATCTCAAATCTGTGGATAGCCCTCACTCAAAATGTTTATTTTGTATTATTCCTTATTGAATTATTTATAGACCTTTCAAAGTAATTATCAAGACCTTATAAGATTCCAAGAGGGGTTAAAGCCTTAGAGGCCAATTTGCTGTTTATAGCATGATCAATTAATACATTTATATTTAGTATAATACCATACTAACTGAAGGGCACTTAAATTAAAGACAGCATACCTCCGACAACAAATTAAGTTGTGTATCATGCATAAATTATACAATGGGCTAATTATGCATGAATTAACAACAGACACTTTTGCTAATTTTCCAATTATTGGCCATTATTACCATCCAAATTTATTACCAAAATTTAATAAATTTGCCCTTGGGCAACAATGTACATTAGTTCCAAAAACTGTTGTATTAATATGTTTGATATTTTGTAACCCATTGAGCCGCAATGCACCCCAGTGCCCTAGCTAGCTACTTATTTTTTTTTCTTTATCTAATGCCAGTTGTGACGTGATTATTGAAAGAGTGTATGTATTGTGTGTACATGTATATATATAAGAATGTTTTATATTGTGTAGTTGGTATGTTTAAACCAGATTATCAACATAATTTTCTCATGCTGTGTTAATGTTCCTTAGTCGTTTTGTTGATCTTGTAACTGTTTAAGTATTGTTGCACCTGCAACATGAGCCGAGTTTCAAACAAAAGGTTATCCAAAAGACTTTCAAAATAAGAAAAATAAACCAAAAATAGAAAAAAGGGGTAAGTGGTATAATGGTTAAAGAATAGCTGTCAAATCAAGTTTTGTTGGTTTAACCCATTAGGCTGCTGAGCTTCCCCATTGACAACAAGTAAAATCGTCTGGCATTAGACAAGTAAAAAAAGATAAGTAGAGCATACTGGGGCGCATTGCAGCTCAATGGGTTGAGTCTAAAAAATAAGAGAAATTTTACAATATTTTTAAATTAACTATAAGCAGTCAGTCAAGAAATGCTTGTCTTTTGAACACAGGGTCTTAGCCAGGATTTGCAACTTGGGTGTCCAAATTTGAAATTTCGTTTATGACACCCAATTTTTGCCATATGACACCCAATTTTTGCCATATGGCACCCACTTCATGCACCAGTAATTCAGCAATGTGATTATTCCCAAATGCTCGGAGTAATAGGTGACCGCACTTGAGAATCGCCCAAAAAACTAATAATATATATTCAATTAATTCAGACTAGGTCACTACTCACTACAGTGACTACAGTAGTACAGTTTAAGTAAATCTGCCAATATATTAATTTTATGATTGATATTATGTTGTCACTTTCATGCTATAAATACAGTACCTGTAGCTTTGATAAGCTAGTGTGAGCGAAGAACACAACCAAACAACAACAAAAAGCAACTTATTATCTTATATAGTTATATTCTGCGGATTTTGGAAGCTAGGAATCTTTCCGCTGCAGCTTGCAAGTGAGCAATGTTTATGTTTCCATGGACATGGTATTTTATTCGCAGCAGCTTGTCTAACCGATCTATGGTCAGTTGGTTTCGCAGTTGTGTTTTTATGCGATTCTGCATGCTAAACACCCTTTCTGCTTCTGCATTTCCAACCATTACACACAAGCAAGGTGCCATAGTTGAAAACTAGGCGAGTCTATTTTCTGGATGGTCAATAAAATTTGCGTAGGTGTCACTAGCGGCGCATGTTTACAAAATTACATATTACTAGCCGTTTCACTCAGCGAACAAAACGCAAATACATAATTTAACATTATATTTTATTGTAAGGTACTCTACAGCTTTTACCTAGCCGTCCAAAAGGCGTCACCATGATAGCGAACCGTCCAAAAGCTGTCTTTCTTAGAAGGCCGTCCAAATTTGAAAATGGCCGTCCAAAAGACGGCTGGACGGTAGGCTGGCTAAGACCCTGTTTGAACATGTGAAAAATTAAGCTGCATATTTTATTTGGAGATGGCAAGGGGGAAATTGAAGACAATTTAAATATATGTAAATACAACTAAAGCAGCCACAGATTTATACCTGTACATCTCATACTTTTGTTAATTAAAACAAAAAAAAACATGAATATAAATTTTATAGAAACTCTGTTAACCATTGAGAGCCAGCACTCTCATCTTGATGAGTCAAATAGTCTGGCATTACCGCATTAGACAGAGTATTACCTTGTCCCTCTCAATAGGGGGCAGAAGACGAAGAAGGGGGATAGCCCCATACCAAGGAAGTATATATTCTTGAAAATAAAGAAGCAAATAATGCTCCAATACTCAATAATAGTTAAATTATTACTTTAGTAATGTATTTTACTTCGTCTCTGACAAAAACGGCTTACTGTAAAGTTAGTTTTGGCTAGAATATTTTAACTGCGTCATGGCCATATATGCATGATTTATACGTATATTCTGTGAAATAAAGCTTTTACTTTCCATATTTAGGCAATTATTCACCACGCAAACACTCTGTGATGCAAATACACAGACCATTAATTTGCTATGCATACAAAATCTAAAATCTTTATATTTTGCATCAAATATACGATTATACGTGTATGAAAAATTATACAAGTCAGCTGTATGATAAAAAAGTATCGAGGCGAGACAATTCGTATCAATGTAATCTCTGCTATGAAATATGAAATTGAAAATATCATAGAAGAAGTAACGAGAAATCTTACCTTCGCAAAACGACGAACAGTCGAAATCTTTAAAAACGAAAGCGATCGCAGCAAACTCTTCTTTTGTGTTGACGATAAAATGACGACACACAACCTGCACTGCGCAGAATCAGAGCAGATTCACTAGTTTGGGAAAGTCCCGAAATGACGTAAAGGGATTTGGTTGGTCAAGAATCGATAATATCAGGATTTGCCCGATTTGGGGCATCTCACATTCTCACTCGATATAGAACCATGATAGAACTGCTTGTTGAAGAGTTTTTTGTAGATGAAATAATTTTTTGAATGTAAATTTTATACATATAGTAGACCTATTAATTAGGAGCAGTTGCAAAAAATGCAACTATAGTATACGTAGGCCCTCAGCAGAAATTGAACCTGCGGCCTTGCGATTCTGGTGCAGCGCTTCGACCAATTGAGCTACAAAGGCCACTAATGGACCGCGGAACCGGGGGACAATGGGGGCATGTGGGCTTTTTTAAAAAGTGAAGAAAGTGCCCTTTTTTCTGGGCCAAAGTGCCCCATTTAAAGAATGAAAAAAGTATTTCTTGAATGAACGCCCGCTTTAGCTGGAAAGAATGTGCTCTTTTTGCAGTAGTAACGACTCTGTAAAGGCCATTTCCGACATTATAGAGAGTCCATATTTTCAAAAATTTTCGTTCGGCGCATGAACGACATAAAATCGTTTGATTTTAAATAATAATAATAAACCAGACTGGTCTAAGTAATAATAAACCAGACTGGTCTGATAGTTTAGAGATTATTGCCCTCGAATTGGAATTGATAAACTCCAAGAAATGTCTTGTGTGTGTTTGTTACCGACCACCTAGTTGTAACTTAGTTGAATGGCTCCATTTGTTCACGGCATTTTTGGATGAAACCACCCACTACGACAAAGTTTTAATCTCTGGTGATTTTAACTTCCCCGATCTAACTTGGAACTCGAACTTTGTGCCTGTTATTTCAGAAAGAACTATTTCTGCTGGGTCTTCTGAATTCAGAGAACTAAGTTATGATTTTTTCTTACATCAAGTGAACATGTATCCGACCAGAGTTAACAACATTTTGGACCTTGTGCTAACAACCACTCCTGACAACATTGTTAATATGTCGTGTGTTTCAGCCAACACAATGGACCTCTCTAGTGACCACCACCTAATGTTCTTCGACTTTTTACTACATGTAAAATTAACAGGACTTGACAGGAGAACTGTGTTCAACTTTCACTTGGCTGACTGGAATGGGCCACAAAGAGCACTTGATCAGTATGATTTATCACCTAGTAAGTCCACTGATATCAACACTGATTGGGAGCAATGGAAAGATTTTTTCCTCAGTGTTGCTGCTGAGCATATCCCACTCAAAACATTTAAGCGGCGTAACACTCCTCCGTGGTTTGATGGTGAAGTGAGGCGTCTTCTCTCAAAAAAGGACTCGTGCAGGAGAAAAGCTAAACGTACGTCGTGTCCTAGACTCTGGGAAAAATTCCGTATACTTCGACGATCAGCTAAGTCTTTAGTTAGAGCCAAACGTACGCAGTACTTTCACTCTCTTCCATCATTGTTAAGGTCAAACAGCAAAAAGTTCTGGTCAGTGTTTAAATCCACTTCTAAACACTCGAACATTCCTGGAAAAATGACATGGACTCGACAGGACTCTTCTTCCACAACAGCTGAGACTCCAATCGACATAGCCAACCTGTTAAATCGTTATTTCTACTCTGTGTTTAATCCGTCATGCGATTCCACTCATGGCCTTCCCATTCCTGTCGACGATGATTCGATTAATCTGACAACCATCGCAGATCTTGAGTTAACTGAAGGAGAAGTATGCTCTGTACTAAGAACTCTCGACGTTGACAAAGCAACTGGTCCTGACAAAATACCGGCGGTATTGCTAAAAAACTGCGCAGCTAGCGTCAGTCCATCTTTATGTGAACTTTTCAACAAGAGTTTATCTTGTAGAAAACTGCCGCGGGAGTGGGAACTGTCCAATATTAGTCCAATTCCAAAGAAAAATCCTTCACATGAAGTCTCGAACTATAGACCAATATCACTTTTGTCTTTGGTCTCAAAGGTGTTTGAACGTTGTATCTACAACAGAATAATTGACCACCTCTCAAATCAACTTTATAGTCTACAATACGGTTTTCAAAGCGGCAAGTCTACAACATCACAAATGCTATATGTTCTTCACGAGATCCACAACATCTTAGAGAAAAGAGCTCAAGTTGACACTGTCTATCTTGATTTCGCGAAAGCTTTTGATAAAGTCAGCCATGATCTCTTACTCGTGAAGCTTCACAACTTTGGCATCAGAGGAAATCTTCTTCGCTGGTTCGGGGACTATCTTTCTGGGCGATTACAGAGAGTTACTGTTCTTGGTGTAACATCTGAACCACTTCCAGTGCTATCTGGAGTTCCTCAGGGATCAATCCTTGGACCACTCCTTTTCCTTATTTATGTGAACGATCTTCCCAAGGCTACCTCATTCGATACTACCGTGACAATGTTCGCTGACGACACCAAATGCCACCGCCCTCTTCGAAATCTCCAAGACACCAAAATTCTGCAACAAGACCTGGATAAGATTACCAACTGGTGTCATGATTGGAGGATGGATTTAAATCAAACCAAGTGTGTAGTCATGCATTTTTCCCGAATTCTTCGACCGACGATCACACAGTACACTCTATCAGGTACTCCAGTCCAACAATCGTCCAGTCAAAAAGATCTTGGCATAATTACCACTAGCGATCTGAAATGGAACAAGCAGGTGCAAGAGATATCGACCAAAGCTAACAAAATGTTAGGTTTCGTCAAGCGAACAGCGTTCGATATTCGGCAGCGACAACTTCGTAAGGTTCTTTACTTGACTATGGTCCGTAGTCAGCTGGCTTATGGTAGTCAAGTGTGGGCACCCCAGACGGTCAACAACATCATGATCGTTGAACGTGTGCAGCGCCGTGCCACTAAATTTATTTTGTCATTGCCATACCAAACAGACATCTCGTACAAGGAACGATTGATCACCATCGGCATCATCCCTATATGTTACTGGCATGAGTATTTGGATCTGGTGTATCTGTACAAGTGCATCATTTCTAACTCTGACAGAAACATCTCCATCAAGACTCCTGCTCGAGAAACACGAAATACCAACGCAACCAATGGCATTTTACTCGAAGTAGCCAAGTACAAGACAGTGAGCTATCAAAACAGCTTCTACGTCAGAGTTGCCAATGTGTGGAACACACTCCCCTACTTGATCAGAGAAGCCAACAAAACTGTGGTCTTTTTTAAATTTTGTTTAATGAAACATTATAATAATCTCACTAAGGAAATTTACAATCCCGAAGATCCGAGAACATTTAAGTCTGTTTGTGTGAAGTGTCACACAACTCGCCCATTGAGCAGCTTGTCCAATCGATCTTGTTGCTAAATTTATTCATGTCTGTCTGTTTGTCTGTAAGTCTGTTATTGTTTATACTTGTATTTTAAATGTTTTGGAATCCCGTTATTGAAGATCGAACTAATAATCTCTGTGTGGTAATTCCAGCCATGTAGCCTATTTTGTAATTAATTTTATGTAATATAGTGTATTTTTGTTCAATGGCAAAATCTGTAAAATAAAATAAAATAAATAAAACATATATACGTTACAAGATATATATAAGTCACGAGACAAGTATGTATAGCCATTCCGACGCAACGTTAAGTAAAATGCTAGAATGCCTTATTGCAAAATGCAAATTTGCAATCGGATTTTGTCACAGCAAAAAAATGTATAATGTGACAATTTTTTTTGTGATCGGACGAATGTCCGATCAAAATTACTTTTGCTCGGACATTTGCCAAATTTAGTCGGACATTGTCCGATGTCCGACAGTAATTTGCAGCCCTGCCACTGTGAGGGCCACTGTGATGGCCACTAATATGAGGGCCACTAATATGAGGGCCACTAATGAAGGCTACTGTGAGGGCCATTAATGAGGGCCACTAATGAGGGCCACTAATGAGGGCCACTAATGAGGGCCACTGTGAGGGCCACTAATGAGGGCAACTAATGAGGGCAACTAATTTATCAGTAGCTCACACTTACTGTCATGTGTTACCCTCGGTAAATAAAGTCAATGAAATGAAATGAAATGAAATGATAGTAATTGCATGTCTTAAAGTTCTATAAATTCGCATTAACTGGGTATGAATTTATTATCATTTGGATCAGGCATGTACCAGTGTACCACAAACATTTCGTGAATGAGAATCAAACAGATAAATACAATATTTTATTAAAGCCATATTAATATAGCCTTCTAATATTATAAATGCATAAGTATTGCTTGAAAAAGCATTCATCAAAGTTAAACATAAAGTATAGTACAAGCTGTGATTGTTGTGCTTGTCGAACACATTAATAGTTCTCCCTTAATAAAACTCTTTGTAATCTACTAACCATATAAAGGTGCGTTGTTTCACGAGTTTAGATCTACCACCAGTAGATCAGAATTAGTTACCCTGATAAGCGACTCAACATCCGCCCTTTTCGATTCAGCCCAATTAAATACCGTCGCTTGCAACTTAGGTGGACAGTCGCAGATAAAAACATTGCCTATTTGTGCGAGAATCTTCAATGTTTGTCAAGAACACTTGACAGGTTATATAAATCTGATCAGCCAATCACGTTTAACCGGCTCCAAGCTGATTACATGATCATCACAAACATTGAAGTTTCTCGGTAAAAACATTGTACTTTGTCATGTGAATAGACAATGTTTTATCTACGACTGTTCATCCTTTAATTAATAATAGTTACAAGCGACGGCATTGAAGCGAATCGTTTGTTTGTCTAGTATAAATTTGCATAGTGTTTGCGTCAAGAGACCATCGCATCTCACGGGACAGGTGTCCAGGGACAACGTCTCTGTGTCAGGGATGGATCCACTTTCAAAAGCATCGAGATATAAAAGTCGATCTCCCTCAGCAAGAATCTGATCTACGTTTATAGATGCGGTCCACTGTTGGATCGGCAAAATCTGAGCAAATAATAACGCTGAAAAACTCATAAAAGAACATTGTCTTCCGCGTGAAATGTCACTATAAAACCCTTCGCTACCTTGATGAATGCTTCCATCAACATATAAATTTAAATTTGACATGCTTTCAATAAAAAAACTTACCTAGTTCTTCCCTTCTAGCTACAACTTTTCGAACGTAAAGGCCAAGTAAAAAAAAATCCCGGTTTCTCATCAGACGTTTTTTAAAATGCAAATGCGGCGGGCGGGTTTTTTATTTTTTTATATTGAACAACCAGTTTTCTTTTAACAACAGAACTTTTTTTTTTATAAAAAACACTATTCTACCATGTATATTTATTAAAAATACAGTATTTATAAAAAAAATATTACACTGCTGACCATACATACCCATGCACTCACCGCTAAATATTTCATGTAATTGTTATTTTAAAATAAAAAAAATACAAATGCGGCAGCTATTTCCTAATGCGGGCGCTGATGAGAAACCGGGAATTTTTTTTACTTGGCCAAACACATGCAACATAATGCAACATTAATATGACTAATGATGAAACCGCTGCACATACATACGCGTGCTCAAAATCATCCTGACAAACAAAAATCGAGATATATGTCAAGAATATGGGGCTGCTCGCCGGCGCTCGCAGCAATAATGTTATTTCCTACAAATTTAGCTTTATTGTAGCTTTATAAAAACTTAAGTAAAAAACTTATTGTAACTTAAGTATAAAAACCCATGGAAACGGTGAAATACCATAATAGATTGAAAATAATTATTAATTAAACTGTGATTGAAATTATCGACGTAGAATGCTATTTCGTTGTATTAAATTCCAATAGTATTAATGAGAATTTTGTTTGATATTTTTAATATATTTCATGTTATTTACAAAACATACTGTAGTTTTGAAGTTTTGCACACAATATACATTATATACTATCAGTGCAATGCGAGCACAATAACTCCATTTCAGTTTGAGTATTATATTTAAATTTAGTATTTTGATAGCGCGGCCTTTCGCGCTATGTAATAAAGCCTGATAAATAATATGCAAGCACAGCGGCTCCAAAATAGCAAAATCACAACAAAATAATAGAATATAAAGTGAATTTAAACAGCAAAGCTTTACCTACCTCGATGTATTTTTCTAAGGCTCTCGATTATGTAAATTTTAGGCGAATAATCAACATTTTCTTTGCATTTGCATATATGATTATTTACATATATTTGCATATATGCCATATATGGCATGCAACAAAAAACAGAGCAATTTACAGAGAACAAGACGCCAGCTCAAGAGTTCACACTGGCTTCGGTTCGCCAATTAAATAACCACTCAAGTGAGTTTTGTTTCAACCTCGGTCCCAGGGTCTTTCTTAGAACGGCACGATTATGCATTGTGCATAATTCAGACTAAAAAACTGTTGTATAAGGGGAAATTGTATGTTTTGCCTGCGAAGGACGAAGAACCATTGTCCAGGCAACACATGCATGTTGTGCTTTTGTCCTTCACACGGAAAATATGCAAATTTCACTTGTATAGAATAGTTTTTTGGTGAACTATATTCAAACTTATCATGTTTAGCACGGCAATCATTTTTATTGTTTGCTTGTCAAGGGGAGAGTGCTGCCGCTCTCAAATTCGCTAGAATTGTATTGCAGGTAGGTGGCTCAATTTTGAAGTTTTTGTTAGTATAATGACCCCAGGTCAGGATTTTATAGAACCAGACACAGCACTAAAATGCGGTGCCCTACAAATAAAACTTCCGGCTACAAGTAAAGTTATATTTAGTAAACAAATTTCAGTTACTAGAATACCAAATCTCAAATCTAGAATACCAAATCTTTCTTCCAATCTTTTGCTTATATTTTAGAGAAAAGGACTTTGTCTGGGAGGAGCAAGATGCTTTAGTGGGAGAGTCACTGTGGGTTTTGCTCTGCCCATTTATATTGTTAAAAAGACCCTGTACCTACGGGATAAAACGACTTAAGATGTCACATGACCTGCCTGAAGGGCAGTGTTTGACGAGGAAAATGGGAGTAAAGAGCCCGTTTAACTTGTATAAGTATAGGTAATCATGCGATGGCGAGTACAATTAGGGATTAATAGTACGAGTGATGTCTCGTCCCGGCGGCTCGTCCAATTTTGGCAAAATTTCCAAACATCACGAGTACTATTAATCCCTAATTGTACGAGCAACATCGCATGATTACTTGTTTATTATCAGCATGACAAAATTGGACACTTCCCAATGACAATGTCAACATCTCTCGCCAAAGCCCAGTCCTGCCAGACTTTCAACCAAAATATCGTGCTTTTGTTCGTATTTTCGTCTAGTTCTTCTAGGGCAATTTCATTTCACATTTGTGTTTAAAATACCTTTCCGCCATTTTGCCTGTTTTGGGAAAATCATTAATTGTACTGCAGTACAATTAATGAAAAAATTGTACTCCTCTCAACCAATCAGCATCCAGTAATTTTGTCATGCTAATAATAAGGTATCTTATCAAAACGAAAAAAGTAATACGCATACATCGAAAGCCTAGAACGATGACGGAAATAAAATGCGAAAACTGAAAATTTGTTCTACCATGAAATCAAGTCCGTAATCTATGCAGCCATTTCTATTATTTAATAAACTCCACCGAAAGTCATAACATTGTGACATTTGTGGTGTGTAATGAAGCTAAAATGCATAGACGTGCTGGAGGGAAAAATGTGTCTAAAAACCCAAAATTCTTGTTCATGGGGTCTTTTCGAAGCCTAAAATATTTCTTCCATTTCCAACTATTATTGTAAATATTCTTCACATTTTTTTTATTATTTCTTGCTTTTAAATTAAGTCCCCCCCCCCCCATGTTTTTGCGCTGTTACTGTAATATGGTGGCCGGACATTTTGCCGAAGTCATTTTGCCGAATGGACATTTTGGCGACGGACATTTTGCCGAACGGACAGTTTGACGAACGGACAGTTTGACGAACGGACAACTTGTCGAAAATAGAGATATCTTCTAGTACTTTAAAGGTTAGCAACACGGTCAAAGTTTCTGTGATTGAAGTCATTGACGATTTTGATGACAGAAACTTTGATAGTGAAGTATAGTTTCGTTTTATATTCTTTCACGTTTTTGACAAGTTTACCGAAATTTCGCGATATGAAGAATAACATCATGCAACATCATTCATGGCTGTGGATGCGATTTCCCCGAGAACTGTGAATGTATTCCATGATTCTCGAAGTGAAATTCGCTTACGTCGTTGTCTTTATATACGCTTGTTTGTTTACGACCTGACGTCAAAACACGTTCCTAACAAATGAGTCATCCGCTGCACAAACAAGCTACTAATACTGTAGTCAATATATGCACTGCTAACGACCATTATGCCGGCACTGCTAATGACCATATAATGGTTATTTTACACAATGGTTGAGATTACTCATTTGGGAAATGAGTCGCAGTCCCAACATTTTGACGAAATAGCATCTCTAGGGGCTGTTTACATGAGCCCTACCTAGAGGGCTGGCCCTAGCAGTAGGACTAATTTTCACCGCTTGTTTACATGCATGAGAGAAATCAGCCCTACTGGTAGGGATAGCTTCCTTTCGCAAGTAGCACTTAAATGGCTTCCGTGCGACTCATTATTTTTATTTTGGCGTCCAAAATCGTAGTTTGCCGACTAAATTTTGGAATAAAAGCCAGCAGACATTTGAATATCCGTTTAGAACTACATCCTTAAAACAAAAAAAGCTTCAAAGAGTTTAGTCTAAAATCGATTCGACGGCTTTTTCACTCAGCCCTACTAGGAGGGCCAGCCCTCTCTACTGCGTTTATATGAGAAAATTCCAGCCCTATACTAGGCGAGATCTCGGGTGAATAATAGTGAGATCTCGCCTAGGAGGGCTGGCCCTCTTCTCATGTAAACGTAAACAATTTGTAATAAGGATTTCAAATATCACGCGGGATCTCGCCTAGTAGGGCCAGCCCTCCCTGTAGGGCTCATGTAAACAGCCCCTAAGTCGGCAAACTGTCCGTTCGGCAAAATGTCCGTTTGGCAAAACGTCCGTTCGCAAAATGTCTGTCGGCAAAATGTCCGTTCGGCAAAATGTCTTTCGGCAAAGTGTCTTTCGGCAAAATGCCCGGGTACACTGTAATATAGAGGCAATATTTTTGTATTCCTACCAGTGCCTTCTCTAAAGGCTAATTTCCACTCAGGAAAATTATCCGTGGATTGGAACGGACAAGAAAATTTTTCTTTGTGTTAAAGTCATTAGTTCCAACCCAGAGTTCACAAGACAAAGAAAAATTTTCTTGTCCGTTCCAATCCACGGATATTTTTTTAATGCTTGCCGCACTGATCTCAAGATTATTTAGTACTGGATAGAACATCTGAGCTCAAGATCGACTTAAGGTGGGTGGGGGTCTACCTAAACTTGCGATATTCCGGTTGACCACATTTGCAAGCCTATTACTCGCCAAGTTTTTTAGATAGCTATACAAAACTATATATCATTAGAAAGCGTATTTAACATAGATTCTAAAAATACTAAGGTCTTTCTCATACCTTTAATATTTATCCTGCCATCTAGTAATTAAACACAGTGAATGTCTCATACAAATCACTGTTAGTTGGGGAAAAATACAGCCTTACCATTTTAATCAAATTTTACCACTAAGAGCAATTTGTTGACTACAAACAAGTAGATTGTTTTCAGCGATGGAATTTTTTATGCTGCATGTAGTTTTTGCACAACATTGCTGCAAAATTTTGGTTCGATTTTCTTCCAAAAATCCTGGCATATTTCCTCGATAAAATGGCAGCATTACAACATATGCCAAATTCTATCGTTGAAAACACTTATCATGATGAGCTCTATTAACACTGAAAATGTCAGCCAGTTTGGTCAAATTGGTAAAGAATTATCTTTTTCCAAAGATGAAAAATATCACATTTCGGGAAAACGTCCATAAAGTAAAGGTTATCAAATATGCACTACCAACTGTTAAGATATACACTATACTCGATATTTTAGACGATTAAAATTGTGCTGGGCATCCCTCATCATCAATTGTCATGTGAAGTCATTTCTTTTTCAAGATTTACTTGTTTATAATAAGAATCCTTTTAAATTTTGATTTTTCTACCATTCCGTCCAAATGCTGTTATGTCTTGCATCACCATTTGGTCTTCCCGCAGTTTGATGGTTGGTTTAATTAAAAGATGTTCCTGAGTGTTAACAGGACATCCCAATTCAGTTCTCAATTTGTATAGCTAAATTTTCCATCATTTTCTTTGCTGAACCCACTTGCTGCTAACAATGATGTTTAAAGATGCACACGGCAGTGATGGCACTCACTGTGCTTACCAAAGGGGCATGCAGACCAACATTTTTAATACCACAGTTTTTTGTATACAATCAATTGTCAATACCAAATTACATGATTCAATGGTAAAATAAAATTATCTGTAACTGTATTCTTGTCCTATTGCTCCAAGTGGTACATTCGGTAAACATATTCGGCCCAAAATAAGCTCTCAAACTTGGTAGGCCATGACATGTGATCACAGTCCCCAAAATGCAGCACAAAAACAACCTCATTAATATTAATACCAAGAAGCATTAAAATAATCAAATTATAACAATGAAGCAAGAAATAATGCATTGATATCTGTACTAAAATTTGGTAGAGGAAATTGATCTCTTGATATAATGTTGTAAATTTGCAATTTTGCAATAATTACTAATTACATTGTATTAAGAATGATTTGCCCCTTTAATACTGCAACATTTCGACTTATAGTAATATAGTAGAATCAATCATTCAATGATAGAAAAATACTTACATCCACAGTTCACCATACACAGCTACTAAGTGCATCAGAACAAACGTTTGAATATCTGTTTATAAGATGCCAAGAATCCAAATACGATTCGAAGATGACTGTTGACATTTGGTATTGAATGCATGAATGTGTTCACGTTTTATCGTCGTCTTTATCGCGCATTTCTTTACCCCAGTGAATAATGTTTCATTCAATGTTTTCTGTGTACCATTGTCCGTTATTTTTAACCAAATGTTAAGAAATATATACACAAAAGTAATCAATATTTACGAAATATTGAAACACATTTTTCAATTTGCTCTGTTTGAATCAGTAGTTGTCCAAAAACGCATACACGCGCATAATCTTCATGTAGATCCGCTGCAAAATCATCTAGAGATGAGCCTGCATTATTATTTTATATTAGGGAGGGGAGGGACAACTGTATATTAGCAAAAACATGAAAAATATGAAGGATGCTGCCTTTCGTTACCATGGCAACCAAGCCAAAAATTATAGTGAGGTTGTTTAAAACAGCTCCTGAGAGAACAATTTTTTTAATTCAACCAAATAAATACTTTCACAACATCAATTACATGCCACACTAACTATTTAGCTCAAAAAATGAAAATCGATTTTTTCGAGTGGTTTAGGTAGACCCCCACCTTAAGGTGGCTCCCTACAGTTTTCTAAAATTTTAAGTATTTTAGGTAACCTTCGTTTTCAACCAAATTTATATTGAACACACTTAAGACAGGGCAATATAATCATTTCCAGGAATGTTCAGAAGTCTTCTGCTGTCGATATATGAACAAATAGGAACAGTGTTAGTGTTGCCATGGCAACCATGACGTTTCATCTTTTGCACTTTTATTGTCTAATTTTACAATCAAACGGCAATATCTTTTTTTTCCTTCGGTCAATTTTTCTGAATTTTTTTTTAAGATTTATGGTTGAAAGAGGAATGACATATTAAAATTTGAAGGGATGTTTCCCAGGTTTTGAGATATTCATGAATAACGACTACAAAAAATCTGTCTTATAGAATTTCTTGAAATTTTGATATGTTTGGCGAATCGTCATGCTTAAGCCTAGTTCTCATTCATCGCAAACTGTCACCGACGATCGGCGACGCTTATCGCCGATACTCGCCGAGCGCGAATGCACGAAAGTTCTTATACATCGGTGATCGTCGCAGATGACAGCCGATGTGTTTCGAAATTTCCTACCAAGGCACAAAATGGCCCCATTCAACGTAAAGTTCATGATTTCTGTCAAACTTCAGTTGATTATTTCCTTGCTTGTTGAGGAAAAAACAACTTTTACTCTTTTCTCATAGATTTTTCAAGCAGGTGGCAGTCGGCGCGATGGTCGCAAGAAACAAACTTTTTTGTTTCCTGCGATGTCATCGCCGATGGTCGGCGACGATTACGGACAATCGGCGATATAATTTTTGATGTGTTCTCATAAATGGCAAGCGGTCGGCGACGTCGCAAAGCTCCCATCGCCGACGGTTTGCGATGAATGAGAACTAGGCTTTAGCAAACGTGCAAAGTTTAAAAAAATTTCACCGAAGGAAACGACATGATCACTATTTGCGCATGCGTGTAAATTATAATGCGTGAGGAACACGAAACGCGTACGGTTTTAATATTTTGGCTTTTTTAGCAATTTTCACTTTGAGTTTTTGGCTTATATGTATCACACAGATATTTTTTACTTCATTTGAAATGAAAATAAAAGATATACTGTATGTTCAAAATACGAAAAATTGAGAACACAATAACGCACTGACTTAATCCAACGTTTCTTAAATTTAGTTTTGTTGTGAAAATCGGTGTGAAAAATTTTCAAAACATTCAAGTAGAGTTTGACTTTTCGTATAAAACAACTCGTGACTGTCTGCATTATAGTTTTATTGGATTCAGCAGATAAAAAACTACATGTGAACTGAGTTGAATGACAGGATTTACGTAAGTTTCAGTGATAGTTCAGGAGTGCCTTGAAGACAGTATAAAATATCATTTCAGTCCGTGACACTGTTGTTGAACATTGTGAGCATTATGAAATACAGTACTAAACGTATTAAATATATAAAAAAAAACACACTGAAGGTAGGTAAAAACTAGCTAACAACATACGTACTGTTCGAATGTTGGAAAGTTTAGGATTATAATAAAAAACTGGCGTTTTCTTTGTAGATAAAAATACAAAAACAACTTCCCGCGGCTTGTTTCAAGATTTTTACGAGTTGCGAGGATGACGTCTGAGCTATATAAATGTTTTAAACTGGACTATAACTGTAGGGAGCCACCTTAAAATACCTGAAGCGAAACGTGATATGCAATCTTCCTGCGGCCTGCTTGTCAAAGTTGAATACAACATAGATCTAAGATCTTAATTGATGTTATTGTCCTTCGCATTTGCTTGATTCAATCATGAAGTTAGATGGTTCTGTAGCAGTTGTTACTGGTGGAGCGAGAGGAATTGGAAAAGCAATCACGAAAGCCTTGTTGCAGAATAAAGCAAAGGTGATATGCATGTGGATGTTATTATATTTAAACTGCATGATTGTTTACTTGGCCTCTTGACTGAATACTGATTTCAAAAGTAATCTTTTTGAATATTGCTCCGTTAAGGAGTTTGTGAAATAAACAAGACGCCTTATTGAACGTTTGATCGCTGGTATGTTTAAATACAGCGCAATGCCGCGATGGAAGCCTGCATAGATTTAACGATGAAGGTGCGAGTAAAGCTATATCTGTACGTTTTAATACACTGCACCGCATAGCTTCCGGTAGCGACGTGAAAAACACCTATCTGTACCTTTTTGGAACCCTATTTTCAGGGGAATTATTGCAACGAAGAGATGCATGTTGTGTGAAAGTTGTAGCTACATTTCGTATCGGATATAGGTACTGTTTCGCGTCGCTACAGCAAGCTATCTGGAATAGCTAGTGTAAACGTAGCCTATGTTTATAAAAGTATGTAGCGTGTCTATTTGCGCACTATATGGTAGTAATGCAGACAAATTGCTCCTAAATTACACTCCTTTGCAAGTGAAGTTTTTTCTGTGTGCCTTCAAGGGCGATTGCACATTGTGCAATACCGTGCAAAAGTTCTCATTAAACATTGAAGTACTCGCGCATTGTTCAAAATTCATGAGCACATTAGCACATATCTTGGTGCAATATGATCTTAAATTTAATATGATCATACATAATTAAATTAAGAAAATTCCTCTGAGCCTCTCGTACATCTATTTGTATACGGTTATAATGCTGTAACTCAACAATGTAGATTTGCTTTACAAAACGCTTTATTAAGGTCGCCTTCCAGATCATTAGTGTAATATAAACAAGTAAGAACATTAATTAGGCACAAATATTTTACCGGGCTTAACACTGTAGGCATGTGTTTGTAAAAGGCTTAGTAATAAAGCCGGTTAACGACGAGCAAGTTTCCTAACGTACAACACATTTTCTATAATAAATCTATATGGAAATTGACAAGCTTTCAGTCAACCTGATATTCAAGGTTTTCACTTCCGCTACCCCCGAAATCCGCTGCAGCGAAAACCCTAGTCTCCCTCGCAGACGTTCTTATTGGGGCGAGCCCCACAGTTTGGTGGCTCATCGAGGTCAAGCGCAATGCATTATGGTCGGTTGCACATACGTACGTTCGTACGTACGTACGTACAAGGAACTTTTCCTACATTTTCCTACAGTGATTTAAATCCTACCGGCCTTTCGCCTCACACCGGCTATTTTGAGAACTTTCAGTCCAACACTGCAGTGATTTACAGTAAATTTTACGGGCCTTTCGCCTCTCACCGGCTGACAATTTTTCATGCGACATGCGATGAAATATATTCTTCATGCCAAAGAACAAATGGAAGTTGGAATGGTCAGTATTATTTACGGTGGTCAGTATTATAATCCTCGCTAACTAACGTCTGCTGAATCGAGCTGCACATTCCATTCCCTCCGATCGACCAATCACAGCGAACCTTCTATATTTCGGAAAGTGATTTAGGGGCGGAATAAATAGTACATAAATATTTTTGAAAGCAGTCGTCGGTTGAATTTTGGCCAAAATTGAGCATAAATTGAATTTAAAGACATTGATACTTGTCTGGGAAATTAAATCCATAATTATTAGATTCGGATATTAAAGATGTTTGGTTATATTTAAAACGTGGACAAGATGGCATACTGTATGAATCTAGTGGCGACATGAGCATCAAATGCTGAATATATTTCGCTGAAATTTGAACCTTTGACAGATGTTTATCTTTAAGACAACAAAACTCAGAAGACAGAAAATTTGATATAATACTGTGGCTTATAGAAAGCGAAATATTAGTTTCAAAGTAAACTAATTTGCTGTTTGAGCAACCACTTCTGACTTCTGAATGTAAACACAACACAAATATAAAACCCGAGAAACTTTTAAATGCGCCGAGATGAATTTCTAATTCGCCCGAACTTCGAAACGTTTATATACATCTAACTGCGCTATACTTTTCTACATGACAATTACTAGAGCTTAATCTAGTGGCGGAGATTCACTTTTTCCGTTGGGGTGGGGGCAAAGACTCCTAAATTTCCGACAAAACTTTCAAATTTCCGACAACCCCCCCCCCCATTTGCACTCAAAAAGACTGTTTTTAGCCCTCTTTTAGGTCAAAATTTCCGAAAATTCGGCAATTTTCCCACCAAGATTTCCGCTACTGGCTTAATCTTTTAGAATTTTTCGTCGAAGCCATGGCATATATTTGCTGCCGAAGGCAGCACACTATTCTTAACATGAAGTATTGCGTTTACGTGTGTCCCAGTCTCTTTGGCCGAGTTATGTATATTAGCCGAACGAAAACTCGATTTTTGCAATGTACGAATGTACGGATGATCAGATTTATGACGTATTTTGACGTCACCGAAATTTTAGAAAGTAACATACTCCAGATCGCGATTTGACTTTCCGAACATTATCGAAATCACAAGAGTGGTAAATTTGTCTTTCGAGATTTGCACGCGCGGGGTTGATTTTATGTACCACGTGATGAACTTTTTGAACACCTCGTGACTGCTTCGAAACTTTCAACGGCGTTCGTAAACAATCTGCGATGTTCTGGTGGAATTGATGCTTTAATGATTGAGAAAATTATTTTTAGATCTCTTTAATAGTAATACTTTTGACTATGTTTCAAGAAATGAAGGTAGAGTCTACAACATTCTTGAACTGACACAAAATACACAAATATTCAGGTTGTTTTGTACCGCCTTACGTGGGGTGGGACAGCATCAAGTGACAAATTATCGTCGGACTTGATATGCTGTCCCACCCCGGATAAGGTGGTATTGTCAGTATGTATTGATTACGTCACGTCCACGATCGTGCCCGAGCGGCCCTAAGTATTTTGAAAATATCCGAAATTGAGGAGATTTTGTTTCCGTTCGTCGCTAAATTTGCCCAAGCTACGATCAAACCATATTATTTAGAAAGAGAAATCTTTGTGAAAAGATGTAATCGAATTTGTTTTGCCGTACGACAAATTTGAGCGGAGATATTTGACTTTGAAGGCGATGCGCCTGTGATTAGCCTTTTACTGTTATATTATACATAATGAGCACACACAATGTAGGCCACAGAAAATGTTACATCAACCGCTCTAAATGAGCTCATGGAGTAATTAAAAGAATGCAAAGGTATTATACTATCATGTCAACGATATTTTATTGTTAAAATGTATTTATTTGACTAATTTGAGAATGTTTTTAGAATAGTTTTGGTTGACTATAAATTTGTTTATAAAAACCGTTAAAAAACCCGCAACACTTGATCATTCATTCTGAGATTGGGCCGCCTGTGGTTGAATCTCACGAACACCACCATGGACCCACAGGGGGCCCCACTATGAGTTATGATTGAAATAATATTGTATTTATTTTTAAAAACCTACTTGAACCCCTTGATAATCGATTATTTCTTCTCTCGAAATTCTGTAAACATTTTAAACTGCTTGGAGTCATTATACTATCACTCTACATGACGTTTCACGAAGTATAGATGGTCGCTGACAAGTAAGGCCGCGGGCGCGAAAAGACGAAGGCGGGGAAAGAAGGGAGAATTGAACTAAAGGGTTGAAACTTCGGCGGGTCATCGTTTGATGTGTTCCATAAGTAGGTTGTTCTCCGGAAATTTCGCACGGGGCCCCAATGTGAGTTAGGATTGAAAAAATATTGTATTTATTTTTAAGAACGTACTTGAATCCCTTGATCATTCATTATTTCTGTAAACCTTTTAAATGGCTCGGACTCATTATACTTGACGTCACGAGAACAACCTACTTATGGAACACATTGTGCGAAAAAACCCTTCGAGTGTTTCATGTAAAAACATACGAAAAATCAATCGTTTATTGAATCTACTACATTGTGAAGATATATCCAAAAAGACAAAGAATCTGCAAAAAAATATTCGAAAACACAAATAAATTGTGAATTTTAATTTTAAGGCATTTAGAAATGTCATCTAGTCGAAGTTTCAACCCTTTAGTTTAATTCTCCCTTCTTTCGCCGCCTTCGTCTTTTCGCGCCCGCGTTCTTACTTGTCAGCGATCATCTATACTTCATGTAGAGTGATAGTATAATGATTCAAGCAGTTTAAAATGTTTACAGAATTTCGAGAGAAGAAATAATCGATTATCAAGGGATTCAAATAGGTTTTTAAAAATAAATACAACATTATTTCAATGTCATAACTCATAGTGGGGCCCCCTCTGCATGGACCATGATAATTTGTTAAATTTGTAAACACCTAAAACACGTTGCCTGCTGTAGATTTTGTAGCTGGCTTGCCGAAAATGTTATGTCTGGCTGTTTATCGAAATATTTTTCAAGGTATTAAAGATAAAAGTTTAATCACAAATAACGATCTGTTTTGGTCGAAGTATTTTACCCGTTGAAACTTGAAACGAATGAATTAACTCATTATTCCCGGGCCATTAAACTATATTTAAATTATTTAAATTTTTGAGCTCGCAGATTGTCAGTTTGTAAAAAATCTGAACATCGTACTTCAAAGTATAAATATTAAATCACAGTGATAGTTTATTATTAATATTGTTATTTAATATGGGAATATCAATTGAGCAGTATCGTGACTGCATTGGAAAACACAATTGTATACGAATGAAAAATTATCTGACTAAACATATTAACTTACCAGCAGTTACATGTAATAACATGTCAACAGACTTTTGTAAAAGGTATGACGGTCTGTAAAAATATATCTCTGAGATATGTCCATTGTTAGCAATAATATGAAATGTCCTACCAGCCTACATTAATAAATTCACCTGGCTGTGTCACTAAAGTACTCAGGGTATACTATAATTTTTGATAATTAATACTCACAATTTCATGTATTATATAGTTTTGCAGTTCTTGCTGAGTACAATCAGGGGCGGCGCTAACCCTCTTCGAGTGGGTGTGTGTGAGTGATCTTTTGCCGACTGTTGTTTGGTAATTTTGCCGAATCATTAGCCTATAGTAAATGTGCATGTTTAAGGGGCGGACCATTTGATTTTTTGGGAGGGGGGGGGGGTTGGAAGATTCAGACTGTGCAAGAATTTTTTTTCCACCCAAGGGAACAAGACAGATATTTTTTTCCTGTAAAAGTGCAGCGCAAGATTTTTTCCCCCATATATTTCGCGGCAGAATATTTTTTTTGCGCTTTCATATAGCTATCGTCAGAGACGTAGCCGGGGTTTTCAGTCAGAGGAGGCCGAGAACTGAATCCCAAGAGGGGCCAAGGAATTTTCACTGTGCTTTATTTTACTATGGTTATGTCTTATTGTTTCCCACACTAAAGCGTGCAGGTTTACTTACAAAAAATGTATAACTGCACCAAAACCTAAAACATGCAGGGATAGAGTAGAGTACTCGAAAATGGGGGAGGTACAGTATATGAATGACCTGTAACCTTGGGGTTTCGGGGGCATGCTCCCCCGAGAAAATGTTAAAATTTGAACCTCGGAAATGCTATTTCCTGCGTTTTCAGCCATGGATTCGTCCACGACAACTTTGCTGTACTAAGCCTAAGGAACACTTACTGTCCTTTATTTTAAAATCACAAAATGAGCTTTCATTAATATGTAATAAAACAAGATTTCAATAATGCGATTTTTAACTGCCCTCCGAAACAATGTTCCGCCAAATATAGCTCGATCTGTAGCTTTTCAATCGTTCATACAGATAGCTTGTTGGGGATCGGGTTGCATCCTCTTCAGAATTTTTTTAAAATCTAGACTCTCTAAACTGGCATTTTCGCATTAAAATCATCGTATATGCAGTACGTTCAACTTGCATCCTGTAGATGGGCCTTTGAAGCTTTAATAGTTTAACTTTGGAGCTATGTTATCAAAAAACGCACACCCAGACTCAACCATCCAAAAATACTTTATCTACCATGCATATTAGATATGTATAAACAACTTTCTCAGGGGGGGCAACAATTTTGCGGTTTTTGCCAGGGAACGCCACCGGCTATCGTATGTTATAGGCTCCAAAGGCGGTAGAATCCCTGTGATGTTGTCCACTATTCACCCCGTGTTCTTTTAAGCAAATGTGCCTGCTCAAAAAGGCAAAATCTTGCAAGCCTGTGGACACAATACTGAAGTGAAGAACGTTGAGCGCTCTCTTTTGCATGATATTCTTTTTTCTCGATTATATTTCTCGATTCTCGATTATATTGATTTTTTTCTTTCTCCTTGGATTGCAGGAGTTTTTTTCTAAAATCTTCCAACCAACCCCCCCCCCCTCAAAAATCAAATGGTCCGCCCCTAAATGCGCTTTATTACCCTCTATTAAGCCGGTTTTCCACTAGCGAATTTTTCCGCGCGAAGCGACCTTTTTCCTTTGTCGGCATCCATTTTGAAGCCCTCGAAAACCGTCAAAATTGAGATCGGCAAAAAAGGGCCGACCTAAATCTGACCTAGGTCGGCACGTCTCGGCATTTCTTAAAATCTGTTTCACGTCTTGGAGCACTATTAATCACGCATTTACGAATCATTGAAATCGGAATATAACTGGAACGTTACCTCCAGCCGGAAAATTCGAAAGTTGGAGCCAAATTTTAACTCCAGACGCGCGAAATTTGATCTACAGACACCTAACGTATATACACAATACCCGTCAATTTTTAAACTTTACACCGTGTGTGTTTAGTTAATCGAACTACGAATCGAATTCTGTAATCGCTGACTTTTTAACAGCCAACAGCACCAAAAATTCTTACTTTGGTTGAATTAAGGTCGGCAAAAATTTGCTGACCTTGGAATGCCGACCTCGTTTTCGAGGACTGATTTTGCCACGTCTTGCTAACGTAATAAGTGATACCGACAAAGGAAAAGGTCGCTTCGTGCGAAAAAAAATCGCTAGTGGAAAACCGACCGCTTTATTGCCTCTTTTATAGAACAGTAGGATAAGCAACAACAACTGAACAACAACAACCAAACAAATTTAATTAGAAAGAATTTGCATTGCTGCATGTGTGGTTTCTTTAATGCATGCTAGTCGTGATATTCGGTATGAATTCAATTATTCAGGAAGTCTATTTTGGTTTCTTCAGTGGTTATCTTTAGCCAATCCAGTTTTGCCGACTGAGATAATAATTTGCCGATTTGCTGACGAGTGGGGGGTGTTCCCCCGCCTGTAGCGCCGCCCCGGAGTACAATCTTAATCATTACAAATGAATGGTGTCATCAGAAGCTGACATATAAAACAAAACTGTCAGCATATAGATTTTGTCTCCCCATCAGACATCAGCAGATTGTTCAGTTGTTTTGCAATAGGGGTGGCTTTGAAGGTCATGATAATTGGGCAAAAACTAACTTAAATATTTATATATATGAAATTGTTATTACATTCTACATGTCCAATGATTTGTTCAAGTATTATTATCGTTTAAATATTATATAATACGATTTGGTATAGTGTTCAGTTGCAAGCTAGCTACCATGGCAATTGGTCATACCACGCCAATAAACCTGCATCTATTTGAATAATGCAAATCATTAAAAACTTGCATAGCATGACCTGTTGCTATGGCTAGCTTCACCACTGACAGTGTTATAATTATACATACAAAGGCAAGAAGTTATAAACATTGAAGGTATCAAATAAAATTTCCCATGCCAAGAAAGTGACCTTCAACCTTGTGCAAAGTGTTTGATAATCAAATTGCACTTTTGCTACCTCCTGAACTACCCTGGTTCCAGAGGTTTATTTTTATTATTTTCATTGCGAAGGGGAGAGGAAAATAAAACTCTAGTTGAAAGCGGCAATTGATTCATCGAGCCGCACCAATCAGTTTGAATTAAGGTCAGATCCTGACTCTGTCTCCTGATTGGATGATTGTATTAAAGCTCTCTGATTGATTCAAATAAAACATCTATAACCAATCAGAGAGCTTTAATACAATCATCCAATCAGGAGACAGAGCCAGGTCCTGACCCTAATTAAAACAGATTGGCGCGGCTCGATGAATCAATTGCCGCTTTCAACCAGAGGTTTCAGTTAAACCTCTGGAACCAGGGTACTCCTGAACAGGCGTGTTAGGGGCTGTTTACATGATGGAAGGTGGGATGATTTTTGATGTATTGGAATAAGTCACTAGGCTAAACGGCTAGGTTTTTTGCTGAATTGTGCACTGTGACTCATTTCAATACATCTAAAACATCCCGCCTCATGTGTCGTCCTGGCAAAGCGGGATCGTATAAACAGCCCTAGCTTATTCAGCAAATTGGGCATGTTGCCATCCCTTGGGGGCGAGGCAGCACTTTCCTTGCGATAGTAACTTCTAGTATAGGAAGTATTTAATAGCAACATTTGGACATATCCTGATATACTCGTTCTCGAGTTTCCCGATTGCTTCAGTTGTCATTGACATTGTTAACAAAATTTAAAATTTCGATCATTGCACAGCTCTTACATTTTATATACACCGGTTGTTTGCAGAACATGCGAGAAGATGATCACAATATTATTAAAAAATTTAACTTCACGTGAACATCGTGAAGTTCAAGGCTATAGTTTCTAAAATATCTCCAAGCAAGTAAACAAATTTCAGCCCAAACAGTTATGTTGCCACATCAAGGGCTTTCCCCAGTAGCTAATCTCTCAATAAGAAGGCTTCCAATTGGCTCTAACTCTTTTGAACACTGTCAGATGATTGGCTCCTAAAACAAAGGGAATGGAATGTGCAGCTTGTTTCAGCAGATGTTAGTTAGGCCTAGTTTATACGTCGAATTTCAGTCGAATTTAATTCGTCGAATTTAATGCGACAATTATGCGACGGAAATTCGACCGAAGTGTTTCGTGCAGTTTAGACGTCGAATTTTGGTCGGAAAACACAATATGTGGGTGTTGCAGGCTTTAATTAAGATGGACAGATGAAGGCTTATAAAATAAATATGGCGGCGTTCACCAACGCAATTATCTTGAAACAAATCCTGTAAGTTAGAAGAGAAAGGCGTCAGAAACAATTGTAATTTTTGTACTTGGTAATTAAATAGAAAAATGCCCCGAATTCGTTCATGTCGTCGACTTGAAAAATCAGTACAGTGTAGTTATTGGTTGGAGTTGGACTATCCGTGGTCAAACTATTCTGAAAAGCGTTTAAAGAATACTTTTCGCGTGTCACGACAAATCTTCCCAACCATTCTTCACAAGATTGGAAACCGTACCATGCAGTTGGCATGGAGAAATAAATTAAAACAAAGCTGCCAGCTTTTTTTTGTTTCGTTTTTTCTGTCAGTTTTTTCCTCTTAGAGTTCATAAAATTGTCATTGAGGTTTGTGAAGTAATGGTCGCACATTTATATATGGCAGGATTATGTGTCTAGTTATTTTCCATTGACGGAAGAACATACATCATGAAAGAGAAAATTATTGACATGGAAGATATTTGGGTGTAGTAATTGTTGCAGTAAGCAACGCTTACATTTGGAATCCATCCCTCAATTTCTTCTTCTGTTATAGCCATAGAACATGAAAGATGTACTGTTGGAAACGTACGTTTTACATGTAATACAACCGCCACGATATTTAGTGGATTTTTCGCAATTAGAACATGGATGTTGTTTGTCCGCCATGTTGAAAATCACACTTCGTGGAGTCGACGAAGTGTGTTGTTATTGATTTTAGGGTACAGTTGTGGATAACAATCTAATTTAAATAATTTATTCATTTTACTAAATTCGACGGAAATTCGACGTATAAATCAGTGTCGCGTTTCGGTCGCATTACACGACTGATCATGTCGCAAAATTCGACAGCGTCGCATTTAATTAATGCATCCCGTCGGATTTAATCAATTTATACGTCGAATCTTCGTCGGATATCATGACTTGACTGAAATTTGACGCATTAAATTCGACTGAAATTCGGCGTATAAACTAGGCCTTAGCGAGGATTATACACCCTTTTCATAAATGACTGCCGATTAAAAATTCTTTTATGTGCATATAAATTGGCCCAAGTACAGCATATAATCTGGCGACGACAGTACAATAAAGCCTGTTTCACACTAGCAATTCTGATGGCGATTTTTCTCCTCCTGGCAAATGTGATCGAAAGAATGACATGCAAAAGCTTTATTTTTTGTGTGCGAGTTCACTTATTTAATTGCATCCGTCAGAAACTCAAAATTGCCAGTGTTAACCAGGTTTCAGGCAGCGCTCTTTACGATTGAATCCATTTAATTTACTGTCAAACGTATTTGCCCATAAATATTAGCGGTTTACTGTATACATATAAATGGTTATCGCTAACCCTGGGTTAAAATTTAACCCGTTGTTTTAGTTCGTGTATTTCTGCACGTCTGTTTATTTCAAAACTTCAGAGAAGTAAATTTCTATCGATCCAGACAAGATCTCTGAAAAAATATTTCCAAATTTATAGACAAGCTATCGGGAAGTTTACTTTGAATTTTAGGTTAACCGATGGTTAAGCTAACCCAGCTTGGAATAACAACCCGCCCCTGAACGACAATGTTTTAAACCTGCAAGATTATTTTTTACACCGATTATAAATAATATCATACATAAAAGTATTACTCGTCTGTGATTGATTGGTTGATTTCATTGAGTGCAGTTAATCCCAAACAGCAATGCAAAAATCTGTAATCACAGTACAATTTTCTGTAATCACTATGAACCAATCAACATTGAGCTACTTAGTACATCTAAATTTGCGAAAATTCACGTCGTTGGTTCTCGTCTTCATCACATGCATATTGTCGAAACTGCTTTTTGGCGATATACTGCTCAACTTTGAAATTAAATAAACTTAAATCCAACAGTTCGTTTAAGCAAACAATTTGTTCTCCTTTCTATATCGAGCTTTTCTAAAAAAATGAAACAAGCTAATTTTATACGAAACTTGCACCTACACTGAAAAGGAAACCAATACATGTTTTTATTTTAGCCAAGCATATGAGCTCAGCAACATTCGACAAAGTCAAGTGCGTAAATAGTGGAAACAAACTTGCCGTATATATAGTTCATGAAAACGAAAATTGGCAAAAATATGCTTTACAATTTACTTGAAACAACTTTCAAAGCTGTCTTTCATCCTTTCTTTCACTTCTGACATTCCCCTTATTTTAGAGACCAGTTAGAGGTCCACCCATGAAACATGTATAGTACCTGCGATTATTAATTAACTTTAGACTTCGCTAATGCTTTCCTTTCCTTTCACGGGGGGAAATAGCCTTGCGGAATTAATACCCTCGCCTCGGGCTTACGCCAGGAACTAGGGGATAATTTGTACCAGTTTATCAACACATATATCGGTTACCGCCACAGAAAAACAGAACACGTTACACTAATTAAAATGACAAACGACTATAGAAATGGATCAAGCGGGGACAGTACTACAGTATTTGTATTTTGACTGAAATGAAGCTATTTCTCATGACCATGTAGGTGTATTTCATTGATATTAATATGAATGTCGGTAAAAACACGGAGAAAGAATTCGAGGACGAATTTGGACAAGGAATGGCGACGTTTTTGGAGTGCAATGTCCGAGACAAAGAAAAATTTGAAGGTAATGTAGCTATTGTTGTTGTGTATACAGGACATTTTTTATCCTACGCAGTGGCGCCGCCAATTCGATAATTGGGGGGGGGGGGCGAATATTCATATATTTGTGTTCACAGACCATAAGAACAATCGATTTCGAAAGAAGTTAATAATGCAGAACACGAAGATATGAATATTAGCCCCCCCCCCCAATTATCGAGCTGGCGGCGCCACTGATCCTACGTATTAATACTTGCTCAAAACTAACGAGCATACTATTAACACTTATTTACTTTTTACAGGTAAACTACGTCAAGCGTTCCGCTTTTGAGTTCCTAACTTGATTGAAATTTTCCTCATTACCTTTGCAAATTTTAAAACGCCCATGAATATCCATTGAACGAATTTACAATGTTCCTAAAAGCCAATTAAATTTTCCTCAGTTCCTTTTAGAAATTCTTAATTTCCTGTTACAAGTTCTTAACTTACTATTCTGTTCTGCGCGTTGTCATTGGCTAACAACAATAATTCAACGCTCAGAGCAGAACCGAAAGTCACTAAATTAAAACTGGAAGTTAGGAAAATTTACAAGGAAGTTTCTCTGCATTCGAATATTGCAATAGCTGATAGAAACATTGCAAATTCTTCCAAGGGATTTAATGCAAAGATATTTTCATATTTGCAAAGGTAATTAGAAAAATTCCAAATGAGTTCGGAACTCAAAAGAGGAACACATTCACCCGCCAGTAAATTTTGCATCATTGATTATCACATTTTCAACGACATGCAATTGCTTACCATTATTTTATATTTTACAACCGTATGACATGCTGTACAAACTAGAAAATATTAAAGTGGAAGTCAAGTCCGTTCTGCGCATCGGTTCTGCTCATAACCATGTGAGGACCTCTAATCTCAACATTGCCCAAATTTCGAATGTTTCGAATTTTTCTGATCATAAACTCTATTTCATATTCATTTAGAAGCATAGCGAACCAAAATGGTGTTAGATATTCAGACAGTACATCATATTTAAAAAAATACAGCAGTTCAAAATGTGAACAAACCGTTTGTTTACATTACGGACTTGACTTCCACTTTAAAATAAAGCTAAGACAAGGTAATTTTGAATACAAATGTGGCCATGAATACCACGGCCGCACATCTGGGCACAGGGGGAGTAGGAACTGGAGGCATATTTATTTTCCCTTCCTCCCCTCCCCCTGTCGCCGACATTTCTGGGCGAAAACTTTTCAGGTGCCCCTCTTTTCACTCCAGTTTTCAAGTGCCTCTCGAAACCGGTGCCCCCGCTTTGATTTCCTATGTCTTGTCTGGGCACTGGTGGAGTGCTTGAACCATTGAAATGAACATAATTGGAACGCTGCTTTCAGATAAACCATAGTTAATAAAATATATGGTTTGGAAACTCATTAGAATAACAATATATCTCATTACCTATGTTAGTCTACGTTTATTCATAATTATGGTCCTTCACTGCACGTGTGTATTGTATTTTTGCCAAATCTACCAATAGCAATTTCTCATTTACTCTAATGTTCGAGCCACGGCTAGTAACTGTGCTAAAATGTTGCTATTGGTTAGTTGGGCAAAAATGCAATATGCACGTACGTGACGGTGAAGAACCAGATTGATGAATAAACGTTGATCAACACAGATAATCAGTTATATTGTTATACTAGTTAATGAGTTTCCAAGCTATCTATTCTACAAACTATGGATAAAATGCATATCTTTACACTGCGTGTCTGAGGGTCAAAACCCGCATGTTTATGCTTCGCGATCCCCTTGTGAGACCAGTTGAGAGAGTGAGTATACATTATTATACATATAAATACATTAATGGTAAGTTTTCAGCGCTGTTAAAAAGCTTTCTTGTAAATTTTAAGCCAGTTTTCAAGAATATTAATTTTGAAAGCTAGTCCCTAGTCTTTACACGCGCATGCAGAGCACTGACCGGTCAGTCAGTGCTCTGCATGCGCGTGTAAAGACTAGGGACTAGCTTTCAAGGTTTACTTCGAATTTCAGGTTGCAGGCCGGTTAACACTCTGGTTATATTCGTTTCATTGGGTTGAACAGATGACATGCGGATCGCTTGGACTTTAATTAATGGGTTTAACCTTGCTCTTCTCATAGCCTGTTTATGGGAAGATGGCTGTGAAACTCGTTAGAATATCAATATCTGGTCCTTCACCGTCACGTGCGTATTGTATTTTTGCACAACTAACCAATAGCAATGTTTTGGGAAAGTAACATATCCGTGACTCGAACAATAGGGTAAATTGGAAATTGCTATTGGTTAGTTTGGCAAAAATACAATACGCACGTGACGGTGAAGGACCAGATTTATGAATAAACGTAGACTAACATAGATAATGAGTTATATTGTTATTCTAATGAGTTTCACAGCCATCTTCCCTTCGACAGGCTATGCACTACTCAAGTTGGGCCTTTGCTATCCAATGGACCATTTGCATTATAGACTAAATTTTGATCCAGACAAAAATTTCATTACAGCTTGAAAGAGCATCACAAAATTAGTAATATTCCAAAGTTTCGTTGCGAAATGTTGTAAAATGCGGATAATTTAGCCATGCGAAGTTTGCCGTTTTTCAGTCATTTTGTATTACGCACGGGAAATTGACAGCCCAATCGGGTGTTGGGGCATCAATTTCTCATTTGTAATACAAAATGACTGAAAATTGCAATTTTTGCAAGGCTATATTATCCGCATTTTACAACATTTCGCAAGGAAACTTTGGAATATTAGTAGTTTTCTGATGCTCTTTCAAGCTGTGATAAAATTCTTGTTTAGATCAAAATTTAGTCTATAATGCAAATGGTCCATTTTGCATCTCCTGTCAAATGTGCAATAGATCAAATGTCAAGGCTTAACGTTGAAATTGACTATTTGAAAATTGATGTTATCAAACGAAATGCGCTTGATACAACATGTCGTTGTACATTGTTAGTAGAGTTCTAACATATGTTAAGATTATAAAACGTATATAAAGTAAAAAAGAGAATATGTATCTCCTTTTGAGAGATAGATTATCTCCTTTTGTTTTCCGATTCGTGTAATAGTAAAAATAATTTTATTCGGTAAAAGATGGATAATGGAAAATTCCATCTTTTTGCTCGTGGAAATATTTTTACCATAGCACTCATAACCATGCATTATTTGTATGATATACACCATACAATTTTAATATTTCTCTTAACAATTTGAAAGGGATTCTATCCAATATTGTGAAAGAAAATGGACATTTAGACATACTTTGTAATAACGCTGGTATTGGTCACTCAGATGATGTAGAGAAATTAGTCTGTATTAACTTGGTGAGTGGTCCTGCTTTATATAATCAATTTGTATCATGTAATGCGCACCCCCAATAATTTCTTCATTCAGGGTTGTATTTCTTTTCATACTTTATTTCCTTCTTGCACAGGTAATTATAATCTATAATTACCTGTAATAGTTTGTTGTAACATTGATAATGTGTAAACAGTATGTTAATAGGAACAAAACGAATTAACGCTTATGCTTTCATACAGAGTGAGCATTGTTTCTAAAGTGTTTCACAAAATCTTAAATTTTTGAACGCCAGAACTTCAAAACTTGAAAAATGTTCTTCTCAGGCTTCGTCACGTCCCCGTACAAGATTAAGTCTCGTTTAAGTTCTCCTATGAGTTATTTAAAGGGATATGGAAACAACAATTCAATCTATAGAACTTTTCAAATCATATGAAGAACTTCGGTACCGATTTTTCATATTCTATTTAGTTTTTAGTGCAAAGTTTCTTCGAAACTTTGTAGTTTTGTGATGAGTGGGGAAAATTCACATCTGTCAGTCTGTCATTCATTCAGTAATAGTGTAAGCTTTCCGGGGATACTTTTAGTCAGTGCTTTGAATGTTATTTAGGTAATTTCAGCTTAATTATTTTAATATTCTTTAGGTCTTTTGCCATGCAAATATAAATTGATGTTATGCATTACGGGCATTCAGTTAAGTGCCGATATTATTTTGACGGTATATTCATTATACAGAGCTAGGAAGGAGCGAGGCAGTGTTGTTTTTAAATGTATAAACATTTCAGACATGAATATTGAGAAAATCATTGAGATTCTACGCAATACATAAATTGATGTTATGCATTACGCGCATTCAATTAAGAGCCGATATTAATTTGACGGTATATTCTTGATACAGCGACTGTTATAAGGTGCTACATCACATAAATTATGGCTACACTCAGTACACTGCAACCACAGAAGCCTGTAGAACAGTGGGAAAATGGACTGAGCATGCGCGAAAACTGCTCGGGTTTTAGCGGGAGAAGAAGATATGCGCGCTTCCACTTGGTTGATTTAAGAAACATAAACAACATGAACGAAGCCTTCGAAAGACAGTTTTGCAGCGGCTGTTTAGGCCCACAAATCACCACAAAAATTGGATTCACTGACAATTTTAGTGGAATTTAGTCGATTATTTCAGTGAAAAACAAAACAGAGCAGAAAATTTCCTTTTAAAATGGCGTCTGATAGCTTCAATACAATGTGATATTCAAACCAAAAATACTAATACTTCTTCATTTTTTACAAAGCCAAGAAATTTAATACCGACTTAAAAATGCTTTGAAATTTAATGAAAAACAGCGATAATTCGTTGGCACAACCTGTAACATGACAAAATTTGTGTTTATAGAATTTTGAACGAGCGAAAATGTTTTTTTAAAAAATTACAAAGTTTACGCTTCGAAATGAGAGTCATAGAAAAATCTGATTGCTATGTGTATCTGTTTTTTAAATACTTTTAAAACCTAAAAATAATATTTTAAAACTATTATAGCACAGTAGATGGCAAAATGATTATTCCGATGCTCATTTTCTGAGTCGCCTTTTTCGTATAAATCACATTTGCGCATGAAATTTGCAAAAATTCAGTACTCTCTTCATTTTTAGGCGAGTTTACATTCTATTAGCAAAATCTAGAAAGAAAAGCACATGTTCTGACCTAATCACATTTCATTAGCACAACCTGTATATATGAGAAAATTAAGGTGAAAAATAAGCATTTTTAGCAAAATACCTCAAATACTGAAATTTGACGATAATCGTTAGCTCACAGTATCACTCAAAAACCAAATATTTATACTTTGTCCTGGACAACAAACGCATGTACTGCAAAGTTCAAGTAATATTCCATCAATATTAAGTTCCTGCTCGAGGTTATTTGCCATCAAAAACACACATTTTGCAACGAACGTCATTTTCAGCTATGTTTCAATTCAGCGAAGAATTCTTGACTGCTAATTTCCCGATCGCGACAAGTAATTGTGGTCTTGATTAACGTTTATTAACGTTTACGTCTGCTGACTTTTCCTTTTCCTCTGCTGCAGTACGAGAAACAGGGTAGCGAAATCTGTATTTTTGTTGTTTTCACAATTTTTGCTGGCAAAAAGAAAGCGTCCGCGATAAATTTGGTCAGCGATGACAATTTTCCCACCTGGTGCCAGCCTGTTGCTTGTGTAGTATATAGACCTCTGACCTTTCGTGATGATTGTTAAGTTTGTTGACAAGTTATGGTAACACAACACGGTAGCATTACACCTTAGTAATAGACATGTAGACATACAGAAGGCGTGCTTTGTCTGGGTTTTGTAGTCAACGTGTAAACATATAAGAGAGACTTTATAAATAGTTATTGAAACGTGTTTGGTGTTTTCATTGATATTACATTGGTGCCGTGACCAGGATAAATGGCTACATCGAATAGATCTAGTGTTGCTCTCCCGGAGTCCTTTTCTGATGGGGATATTGAGTTTTGGTTGCGGAAATATGAGCTTTGCTCCGAGGCAAATGAGTGGAAAGAGGATATTATGTTGAAACGCTTGCCTACTCTTTTATGTGGAAAAGCATTCGCCGTGTTTGAACGACTTGAAGGAGAACAGAAAGCGTCGTTTAAGAATGTGCGTGAAGCGCTCGTTGCCGCTTTCAGAGGAGATGCGACCGGGATGCATATAGCAATGATGGAATTTCGCAAACGAGAGCGTAAACCTGAAGAGGATATTCAAGTCTTCGCGTACAATTTGGAGTCATTACTAAGACGCGCAATGCCTAAACTGGGTGCAAACGAACGTGATATTCTGCTGAAACAACAAGTTATCGAAGGGATAAATCCTGGGTTAAAGAAAGACCTTTTACAGCAGCCGAAATTTCCTATGGCAAAATGGTGTCAGCGGCGCAACAGCTAGATTTGGCCATTAAATTTTCGTCAAACGACAGCGAAAGTCATATCAACCAAACCACCGCAAGCTCGACCGCAAGTAGATATCAACCTGAATCGCAGTCCACTATTATCACCCAGATGATGGCAAATATGGAAATGTTGACCGAAAAAGTTAACCAGCTGTCAGACAACATGACCAGAGTAAACGCGGTCGCATCAATAATTCCCCCACAGCCACGACCCAGGGCATGTTTCCGTTGTGGCAATCAAGGCCACATTGCTCGAGAATGTCGGAATCCGGCTCGTACCAGAACAGAGCATCGACAGCGCGAGACGGAAAATTATTGTTTCGTTTGCGGGCAAATCGGACACTTTGCTCGTCAATGCCCCAATAGATTCCAATCCCCAGCAGCGCGTCAACAGGGAAACTACAACGGGTCGACCCGCTATTAGGCCGCGAGTTTACCCGCAATGATATGGCCTTACCAATACATTGTATCCAACCGACCGGACTTTTTATCGAAGCACGTATTGAGGGACGTGAGCAAAAATGTTTGGTAGATACAGGAGCGTCCGTATCTTTAGTAAGTCGTCAATTGGTCCCTGGTCCTTTGACACCATGTTCCCTGAAAGCACGAGGAATCGGCGGTGAAGAACTTCAAGTTCTTGGTCAAGCAAAACTACAGTTCCAGTTGGGTAAGGACACATTTGTTCATTCGTTTGTTGCGGTTGGCATGACTAATACTTGTATTTTGGGTGCTGACTTTCTAAAAGCTAGCAAAATGCTGGTCGATGTAGGAAATTCGAAGTTGTCCTGGCCGGGTGGTAACGTGCCACTAGTTGTAGAGCTTACAACCCCATCAGTCAATAAGTTGAGTGTCTTATTGGAAAATTATGCGGATGTGTTTGTCAACGGTCCGAATGATCCGTTGGGTTGTACTCGAGACACGGAACATTTTATTGACACAGGAGACAGTCGACCAATCAAGCAACGCCCCTATCGAATCCCTGTACACCTCCAAACCGTGGTTAATCAACAAGTTGCTGATATGCAAGGGCGAGGTCTCATTAGATCAAGCACTAGTCCCTGGTCATCACCAATTGTGATAGCGCCGAAAAAGGATGGAAATTATCGGTTTTGTGTAGATTTTCGTCCGGTAAATTTGGTGACGAAGAAGGACGCGCAACCAATGCCACGAATCGATGACATTCTCGATCAGTTGGGCGGAGCAAGATGCTTTAGTACACTTGATCTTGCATCTGGCTATTGGCAGGTTCCGTTACGAGAGGAAGACAGGGAAAAAACAGCGTTCTCGGCTGGGGTGAACCATTACGAGTTTACAGTCATGCCTTTTGGTCTGACCAACGCTCCTGCCATTTTCCAACGTATGATGAGCACCATCCTTAAGGGAGTGAAAAGATGTCTAGTTTTCGTGGATGATATCATCATATTTGCTGATACGTAGGAGGAACATCACCTTTTTCTCGAGGAAGTCCTTGGACGTATTCGGGCAGCTGGTCTGAAACTCAAAAGGGAGAAGTGCCAGTTTGGGAAATCATCGGTAAAGTTTCTTTTTTCATGTCGTGTCTGCTCAAGGTACGGAGCCTGATCCCGAGAAGGTGAAAGCAGTGCAAGATTTTCCAACCCCAACCTCAGCAAGTGAAGCTCGGTGCTTTTTAGGCATGGCGTCTTACTACCGGCGCTTTGCCAACAATTTTGCAAGTATCGCCGCCCCTCTTCATGACCTCACAAAAGGTCAAACGGAATTCCGGTGGTCACCTCAGGCTGACAAGGCTTTCACCACTTTGAAGCATCACCTTTGCTCTTCACCAGTCCTCGCCTCGCCAAATTTTTCGATACCTTTTACCATCTACACGGACGCCAGCGATGTGGGCCTGGGCGCGGTATTAGGCCAACGCATTGGCAGTCGAGAACATGTTATTGCCTATGCCTGTCGCGTTTTAACATCCGCAGAAAAAAACTATTCAATACTGAGAAGGAATGCTTAGCAATTGTTTGGTCGGTTAATTACTGGCGGACTTATTTACTTGGGAAACCATTCGATGTCGTGACGGATCACCAGTGTCTCACATGGCTTCAGGGACTCAGGGAACCGAAAGGTCGATTGGAGAGGTGGATCCTGTCCTTACAGGAATACCAGTTCCAAATAAAGCATCGCCCAGGAAGACAAAATGGGAATGCGGACGCTCTCTCTCGTTTTCCAGCAAGGATTGATCCACCCAATCCAGTGATGAATGATGACGACCAACTTGCTGCAGGAATCGGAGCAACGGAAATATTGCCACAATGGTCCTTGGACGAGCTTCGAGAAGCCCAGAGCACGGATCACGGTATTGGACGCGTGATCCACCATCTTGCTACAACGAAGGAGCAACCCGAAGCTAGTGGAGACTGGACAACAGATGGAGGACTTAGACGCTATCGGCAAATTTGACCCCAGTTGAAAATTGTAAACGGAGTGTTGTACCTCCAAGTAGAACCAGGTTGCAGAGATGAACGGTTGGTTTTAGTTGTCCCTAGAATAATGAGAGGCAATGTTCTGGACTTGTCTCACAACAATCCATGTTCGGGACACATGGGTGTTACTCGCTGTGTGGAACGTTTACAACGCCAGTATTATTGGCCTGGGATGTCATCCGAAGTACAGCTCTGGATAGCAGAGTGTGAGCTGTGTACTCGCCGGAAACCTCCAGTTCCTACCCAAAGAGCCCCAATGCAAAGTATCCCCGTTGCAAAACCAATGGAACTGTGGGCCATGGATATCATGGGTCCACTACCAGTGACTGCTCGAGGCAACCAATATGTACTTGTGATGTCCGACCATTTTACGAAGTGGGTTGAGGCTGTACCGATGGCTAACCAGTGCGCAGATACCGTTGCTAGAGCATTTGTTGATCAAGTAATTACTCGCCACGGAATCCCAGATAGGATCTTGACTAACCAGGGGAGAAATTTCGAGTCTGACCTGATGAAGAAAGTAACGCAGCTTCTTGGTGTAAAGAAATTGCGGACCTCGCCATACCATCCCCAAACCGACGGACAAGTAGCGCGATTTAATCGCACCTTAAAGGGGATCCTGACATCGTATGTTAAGGACGACCACAACGATTGGGACATTCATCTACAACTAGCGTTGTTCGCCTATCGGACGAGCATACACAGATCATCGGGCGTTTCACCTTTCAAAGCTGTCTATGGTCGTGAAGCTGTCTCTCCATTAACGCTGATTGATGGAGAAAATATGTCAACCAGAGGCTTATCAGGAAACTATTGTGACGAGCTCGAGCAGACCTTACGTAAGGTGCACAAACATGTTGCGAATAACATCAGCCTAGCCCAGAAGAGACAAAAGGAAAACTATGACAGAGCGACTAAAGTCGAGAACACACAGCTTAAGCCGGGAGATCGGGTGTGGCTAAATAGTAAAGCGATACCGAAGGGGAAAAGTCGTAAGTTTCACCAAGAGTGGACAGGACCGTACGAGGTAATTCGCCAACTTACCACATTAAGCCGGAAGTGGGAAAAGCAAAGACGAAAGTGGTACATCAGAACCGTTTGAAGAGGTTAGAGAGTCGTTCGAATTCAGAACTACCCAAGATCAATGAGCTCAATGAGCCGGTGATAACTCATCATGACGAAGAACAGTTAACTGTACCGCAAGAGACACCAACTACTGTTAGAGGGCTGCGTCGTTCGACCCGTGTACGTCGACAGCCGGATCGGTATCAAGACTTTACTTTAGAAGATGTCGAGATCATGGACGCTCGCTTTTAAAGGAGGGGGAGTAGTGTAGTATATAGACCTCTGACCTTTCGTGATGATTGTTAAGTTTGTTGACAAGTTATGGTAACACTACACGGTAGCATTATACCTTAGTAATAGACATGTAGACATACAGAAGGCGTGCTTTGTCTGGGTTTTGTAGTCAACGTGTAAACATATAAGAGAGACTTTATAAATAGTTATTGAAACGTGTTTGGTGTTTTCATTGATATTACACCTGTAATACTCTGTGCTGAATTGCTGAAATTCGGGTTTGCGGATCCAGGATTTTTCGTCTGTTAGTCAAAGTTTTCGGATGTACAATCTAGTTTTGCGGGCGGCGAATGCGCGAGGCACCTAGGGGGGTCTGTCCCCCAGGAATTTTTATATTTTTAAACCTCCGAAACGCAATTTGCATCACTCTGAAAGCAGCAAAAAAAATTAACTTCATGAAATGGGAGATAATTATAGCAACTATCAGTCTGACTGACTCTCACAACTCGCTCCTTAGGGAAAAGTAAAGGAGAAGTACTTGCAGAAATGTGATAATTGTGGAAGATGTTTCATTTTATCAAATTACGGATTGCTAGTAACACTAATTTTTGTTGCCTGATAGCCTTGTTGAGTCATTGATCACTTGACTAGTAATCACTACAGTGTCATATTACTCAAATAAACATATATCAATATTAAAGTCTTAACATTCATCTATAAAACCTGACCTTTATATACTATGTATACTGCATTAATGCATTTATATAGGTTATCCTCCATATTAATAGCCTTCTGAGTTCTGACGGACCTTCAACCGCAGAATTACAAATATGCAAATTTGTTGTGTAAATCAAAATTCATAGCTAAATCTAAATCAAAATACGCGTATTCAAGTTACAATTTTACATATGCATGGCGCGCATCTTGTTCGCTTATAAATATTGTTATGCCGTCTGAAACGAAATAAAATTTACATATCACATTAAATTTACCTTATTGCACTTCAGAATAAAGATCTCGGCGCCAATACTTCTACTCAAACAGTCAAACAGTAGTTCGTGCCATTCGTGGCGCTTACGCCGCTTAGCAACTGCTCACTGAATGGAACTCTCCGATATTTAGCGTTGATTTTCCTCCCAAGATCAGCGCAACAGTCTTGTAAGACAGCTAAATCATTCACCGCAAATGCGGATTGAACCGCTTCGTGAATACTACAAGGACTGGAGTCTGGAGCAGCAGACATTTCCGACAACATGACACTTCGAATGAGCGCGCACTCGGAAAGACTTTACCACGCGTCAAATATTAATGATATTCCGACTAATGGAGCTCCCCTGACTTTTGTAAATCGGTCAGAACTCCCCACAGATCAGTCAAAATCGCAAAAAATCGCTTGTTTCCATGGCAATAAGCGTCTAGACCAATCAAAACACTGGATTTTGACTTTTTGACTGACCGACTTTGCGTATGTCAGCTGCTAACTTGACTAAGCTCGTCGGCTCAAACACCGTATGAAATTTGATCACTGGACTACAGTTCGATTGGAATGTTAATTGCTACCGCTGCATATATGATAATAAATACTGGGCTATTATAAGGTGTCGCTGCATGATAAAAAATAACTGGACTATTGGTCGAATATTTAAGACTTTAATTAAGTTTGCAATTTTTACGTTAGTCGCGTGACTGGTTTGACGACCCCTAGATCCGCCCCTGCTAAAACCACACATACAGCACGTGTCAAGCATGATTGATTGACTGCGTGTTTGGCTCTCTAAAATTAATATGGGTTGCGTAAGGCGGCATAACACCCTCAGGTGAACATGATATTCAATATGACTGGCTGGTGCATCAATGCCACACAGAGCGAAAATTGCATCAGCGTAAACAACTGACAGAATTTGCTGTTTCTATGGCGCCTACGAAGAAAATAACTTGCGAGACCAAAGAAAATCTCTTGACTCGTCGGAGCTCTTTATTCAGAGAGAAAGACGAAGAGATAGTTCCACAAGACCAGCTCGAATAGGACGAAAGCCAGTAAACATTGTCGGTGATGTTAACTGTTTATTTCGTGGCGTTTCAATTTGAAACTTTGCACTATCCTTGGATCCCTAGTTGATTTTGTGTGAAAAAATTGGTTGACCGCCTAATTGGATTTATATGTAGTTTTGATCTCCTCAACGATGGTTTTGGTGACGCCAAAAACACGGCCATATATAACTACTCCTAAATAACCAAATAACAATTATTATTATATAAACAGCTCCCGGACATATAAGCTATTCCGCAATCTTATTGGTTTTCCACTAGCAGGATATTAGCTCTTATTCTGCTAGTAGAGAAAACAAGATGGTGGCCTAAGGATTACCGGAGATTTGCGAACGCTTTTAATTTATAGACTTAAAAGCAATAAAAACACAATGAAAAACTCCCAGCAAATGTTTACAGGTTAGAAAATCATTTTAATATTTGAACGTACTGGTTAAAAATGTTTGAAAAAAAATAATGCCGAAAGAGGAGAGTTAAAAACATGAACAGCAATCAGAACATAATTTTTTTAACAAAATTGATTTTTAAAAGCAAAAATTACTCTTTATAGAAGTAAAGTCAACAAGCACTGTTTGGTCTAAAAAAATATTAAAAATGCACCACTTCCGCCTCAAAAGGTTCCTCCAGAAGAGGTGCTAAAGAGCCTGGGAACATGGTTGATAAGACAAACTAATTTTTTATTGACATACCCTTCTAAATGTCACTGAATGTCGTCATCAATAGGTACACTCCTTATATATAGGCTCTCCCCGTTTATATACGTTGCCCTGTTTATCAGTCATTTGAGAATGCTAACGAACGGATATAAGCCAGGGCGGTATCCGTAATATCGACTGAGCATCCAAATAACTCCGGATAAAATTGCGGTTGAATTCATGTGACTAGTTCTGGCACTGGAATACTGAATTTCAAATTTTGCATGTCAATCAACTGTTCAATTATAATAACCTATTTGTGTTTTGGTCTTCTGTGTTGAGTGAAACTGCACGTATGTAGCCGTATGAGAACATTTAAGAAACAGCTTTAAAGACTGGGACTGAGTAGTCAGCGGTTATGTTGTAGAAACGGGCTCAGCAGAATAGTCTAGCGCTTTTTAAAAAGATAATAGAACGAACACATGTTTTGTAAAAGTTTTATTAAAATACTTAATGAATACAATGTAAAATAAAAATAACTCGGAGTAACATTTGGAGGTCCCACCGTGATAATGGAAGGTAATATGTAGAAAAATCAATGTTTGAATGAGAAAATACACGAGATTTCCGAGATTTATGATACTTTATATGCGCGAGTTATTGACAAATTGTGGATATTGGATATATATGTATATAAAAGTTTGATACAACTTCTACAACGGGAAGTTGGACGATCTACTGTTGAAAAATGTCAGAGGATTTGATTATAGAGCTTGAGTCTCGTATGCTGGGCTTCAAACGAATAGAATTAGCCCGATTTGGAGAAGAAATGAAATGGATACTATTTTAGACAGCAAAACAATGAGTCAAAACGAGGAAAGTGTGAAAGCAAAAGAGAAGAATGAACAGGAACTGAAACAGCTCAAAACACAGTATGAAAAGTTACTAGTAGAGCAGGAAAAACTCAAAGATCAAATAAATACTGTCCAAACCCAAAATGAAACAGCTGAGAACATAACTATAACTAGTAAATCAGTAACACAACAAGACAAGCCACAAAGTGCATTTCTTAACATGAAAACAAGTATGCTCCGTCGGGAATTCAAGATACAAGGACAAATCGGAGAGCCAGGGCATAAAGATAAACTAGCATATCAGTCACTCATTTCACAGATTGAAATTGGGCTGCAAAAGGGGTACACAGAAGAGAAAATTACCCATGCTGTTGTTAGAGCTGTTCAGGCTGGGTTATAACTACGAAGTTATTTGGAAGGAATAAATGGGTTGACATTAGCACGATTACGTAAAATACTACGCTTTCATTTCCAAGAGAAAAGTGCTACCGAGCTCTACCAGCTCTTGGCTAATATCAGTCAAGCCCCAAAAGAAAGTCCACAAGAATTTTTAATACGTGCCCTGACGATTCGGAAAAAAATAGTGTTTGCATCAAAAGAATCGGATACCAAGATCAAAGATGACGAAGGGCTTGTCCAAGGCCTATTCTTGCATGCTCTAGAAACTGGCCTTGCCGGGCAAAAATGAGGCCACTACTTAAGAACGAATCAGTGGCTGATGAAGAGCTAATTGAAATAATGAGCTCTGCGATGGCTGCTGAATCAGAAAGAGCCACGAAGTTCAGCCAGGTGGGCCGAGTAAAGTCCTCGCCAAAAGTCTCAAAGATAGAAACCGGAGCGCCACCAAGACCTGCAGAGTCACCAAATGCACATGATAGTGAGATACTGGCCACATTAAAAGCTATCCAGGCAGAATTGAATACAGTTCAGTCCGACGAGGCTAGCTTGCGGACGAAAGTAGACCAGTACCTTCATGACGGGTCGTGTTGGTCAAAACCGAAGAAATGATGGCCGTCAAGGTGACTACCCCCAATTGTGTAAAAAATGCCACGAAGAGAATCAAGTTAATTGTCCTCATTGTTTCAAATGTGGAGGAAGAAACCACACTGCCCGACATTGCAGGTCGGGAAACGAGAGGAAGCTAGCTACCCCTGAGGGACTAGGAGTAACCGCGTCAAACCAGAACAAGTCCCACCGATGCAGTGGTTGTAACCAAGAGGAAGTTCACGCTAACTTTAAACGTTGTTCTACCTGCAAACTTGTGTATTATTGCTCAAAATCATGTCAAAAAAGACATTGGAGTGAACACCAAACACTTTGTAGCGCCATTAAGGAACAGCTAAATCAAAACAATGAAACTCTCAGAGGAGTGGGAGATAGTTCGGACACAGAAATGTTTGCAAGTCACCTTTCTCCAAAGAAACACGCTGCAATTGCTAAACTTGTTGGTCGGAAATGCTCTGTTCGGTGTCTTGTAAATGATGTTGACATGGACGTGTTATGGGACACTGGAGCCCAGGTCTCCATTTTCCCGGAGCAGGTACTGTCTGACAATTTTTCTGATTTTTAAAATACGTGATATTAGTGAATTGCTTGGTGCGGATTCTGGTCTGAATTTAACTGCGGCAAATGGGACAACAATCCCTTATAAAGGCTGGGTGGAAACTAGATTTAGATTAAACCGAGAAGATGAAAAAGAAGTAACAGTACCATTATTAGCAACACCCGAACAGTTTGAACAACCAATAATTGGGTACAATTTTATTGAACTGTTTTTGCAAGAAGGTGAAAACTACTCAGATAATTTATCAGTGGCATACCATATAGTGTCAAGTTTCAATAATGTTGGAGTGAAAGATGCCGAGCAATTGATAAACATTATCCAAAGAAATGATGGGGAGTTGTTTTGCCAAGTGAAAACATCCAAACGCCACATTACAATACCGAAGAAAGCTACCAAAACAGTACCCTGTCCAGCAAATACGGGAACGATTGAGAATACAAGACCGGTGCTTTTTGAACCTGATGAAAAACAAGAGTGCCCCCCCCCCCCCGCGGAATAATTGTTCATGAAACCTTAACATCTGTGAAAAGGGGAAAATCCACTATCATGCAAGTGCAAGTGACAAACGATACAATGCATGACATCGTACTACCTGGATGGACTGTTTTGGGAAGCCTTGAACTTATTCGTTCTGTTACACCAATTGAGGTGAAATCAAAGGAAAATGTAGATGAGAAAAGAGTTATTCATTCATCGAGAAAAGAGTTGATATGAATTTTGGAATGGAGAAACAAAGGACTAGTCAAACTAAGGACCCTTGCCATTCAACCTTGGTAAAACAAATGTTGTATGAGGAGGGAGATGCTTTTTCGATCGACGATGACGACATTGGGTGTATCAAGGTCTTGAAAATGGAAATAAATCTTACAGACAGACAACCAGTTCAGAAAAATTACGCGTCCATTCCACGTCCACTTTACCCGGAAGTGAAACACTATCGGGAAGACCTACTGAACAAAAACTTCACACGATCGAAGTCTCCTTACTCTAGCAGCGTGGTGTGCGTCAGGAAGAAGGATGGAACCATGAGACAATGTGTTGACTACCGTGCACTGAATAAAAAGACCATTCAAGATAGACACCACATCCCCAGGATAAGAAACCTTAGATAACCTAGGGGGAAACTCCTGGTTCAGTACACTAGATCAAGGCAAAGCGTACCATCAAGGCTTTGTCAGCCCGCATAGTCAACCATTCACAGCATTTGTGACGCCGTGAGGGCTTTACGAGTGGGTACGCATCCCATTCGGACTAACGAACGCGCCAGCTAGTTTCCCACGGTTTATGGAAGGATGCTTAGGGGATTTGAGTGACCAGATATGCATTCCCTATCTCGACGATATTATTATATTTTCCAAATCATTCGAAGAGCATGTTGAACACGTACGTTTAGTTCTGCAGAAACTGCAACAACATGGTGTTAAACTGAAGCCAGGGAAATGCAGGTTATTTAAGCGTCAAGTATCGTTTCTTGGGAGAATAGTACCAGAAAAGGGTTATAACATTGATCCAAAAGCAACCGAAGCTGTTATCCTGTTGAAGAGCAAAATACCGCGGACTGTCGGAGAGGTTCGAAGAGTAATTGGGTTGTTAGGACTATACCGACGTCACATCAAAGATTTTTCGAAAATTGCTAAATCCATCTATGAACTGTTGGAAGGGAAAGTGAACACTAATCAGAACTCCAGGAAGAATGGTCAACTGCCATCGAACCACCCTATTCAGTGGTCTATGAAACACCAGACGGCATTAAATACATTGATTGATTGCGTCACCTCACCCCCGATTCGAGCGTACCCTGATTACAGTTCACCATATGTTGTTCATACAGATGCTTCCCAGAATGGGCTGGGAGCCGTGTTATATCAGCGTCCAGACGGAACGCTCCGAGTCATCGCATATGCATCACGCACATTAATAACGCAAGCTGAGAAGAACTACCATTTACATGCGGGGAAGCTAGAGTTTCTTGCTCTAAAGTGGGCTGTCAGCGAACAATTCAGGGATTATACCCACTGACTTATATTCTCTCGACAGCGAAACTTAATGCGATCGGTTTGCGTTGGGTTGGGGAACTTGCAGACTTTAATTTTGAGATCAAACACAGACCGGGAAAAGTAAACATCGACCCGAATAGCCTGTCCGAAATTCCCGATGATTTCGAAAGATTCAAGGACTCTTGTTCTGAAACGGTTTCAAATCCGGAATTCAACGCAGCAGTTTCTCAGATTTCTTCCGTCAGCAAGGGTGGTTGTCCCTGGATTACGTCAGTCACCGATCAGCCGGAGGCCCTCGAGACAGACAAGCTATTCTTGCCAGAGCGAGAAAACACCATCCAGTTCAAACAGGCAGAGATCGCTAGAGCGCAACGAGAAGACCCAACGACAAGTCATGTTCAGTGATACGTATGTACGGACAGGAAAGAAACCAACTCTTGAAGAAAGGCAGCAAGAAACCCCTGAACTAAAAAAATACCTCCGTGAGTGGCATAATCTCATGATCGACAGGAAGACCGGTATTTTGTATCGAGGCCAGAAACTTGTACTACCAACGAAGTATAGTTCCCTAGTTCGAGAACTACACGAGAAAATGGGACATCTTGGTCCAGAACGCGTTTTCAACCTCGCGAGGGAACGGTTCCATTGGCCTGGAATGAAGAACGATATTGAACATTTTATCACGCACGTCTGTAGTTGCGTTAAACAAAAAAAAACCACCTTTACCAACAGAGAACCACTTCACTCCATTTCTACTTCCGCACCATTTGAACTGGTATCAATTGATTTTGTCCATTTAGAGCGAAGTTCGGGAGGGTTCGAGTATATCTTGGTCATAGTCGACCACTTAACCAGATATACACAAGCGTATCCAACACGGAACAAGTCCGCGGCCACGGCATCCGATAAAATTTACAATGATTTCATTCCGCGCTTCGGGTTCCCATCTAGAATAGATCACGACCAGGGAGGGGAGTTTGAAAATAAACTGTTTCGTAGACTAGAGCAGCTCTCGGGAATCGCACATTCAAGAACGACACCCTATCATCCACAGGGAAATGGCCAGGTGGAGCGGATGAACAGGACTTTTCTACACATGTTTCGAACGTTACCCGAAGTGTACAAGTCTAATTGGAAGGGTCATGTGAACAAACTAATACACGCGTATAATTACACGAAGCATGAATCTACTGGCTTCTCCCCGTTCTTGCTACTATTCGGTAGACCGCATCGTCTTCCCCTTGATTTCATGTTTAACTTAACAAGAAAAGAAGAATCAATCGGTTATCCAGCTTATGCCAATAAATGGAAGAAATCAATGCAGGAAGCTTACATGTTAGCATCCAAGTCTGCGGAGAAAGCGGCGTCTAAGGGAAGGAAGCAGAGCGATAAACGCGTAAGGTTGACTGTCCTCTTACCTGGTGACCGAGTGCTTGTTCGGAACCTATCAGCACGCGGAGCTGCAGAGGTCCAGGCAAAATACGAGCGTTCTGGGAAGAGGAGATTCACCTAGTGGTATCGAGGAGGAATCCCGAGAGTCCTGTTTATGATATCAAACCCGAATCAGGAAAGGAAAGATACGCACGTTGCGCAGAAATTTACTGTTACCTTGTGATTATTTACCGAGACGAAGCGGGTAGAGAAAGTGAAAGAACAGACCCCGATTATACACACCCCAGAGGATTCAGAATCCGATTCGGAGGGGGAGGAGGGACTGTCGCTGCCTCCAAACGAAATGGACGAACTTGTACAGTTAAGCTTACGACCAGAGTCGGCAAACGACGTGACAGAGGACCCAAGCACAAATGGCGATATTAACCAGAGTAGGGAAGTACATGGTAATGAAAATGACGCGAATAGGCTGAACAAACAAGTAGAAGAAACGATGGAAACACCGGGTGATGTCGAAGAAACACCGCCGCAGTCCACCGTTACGTTTTGGATACAACGCACTTGGTTGTCCTACGAGTGAATTTCCTTTCATTTGGCAAGACCCTAACGTGGGATTAGTTCAAATACGAGATTCATGGTTTGATCCACCTTGGATTGGACCGATACAACCTCCGATGATACCAGTACCGTGGATGAGTCCAATACAGAATCCCATGTTCCGCGCACAAGTGATGAACCCTATGATATCACCACCGCCTTTTGGTCACTACCCAACGTTATTGAAGACAAAGAAGAACAAGTACTCATATTAAACATTCACATTTATATTTAAAAAAAACTTAGGATTTCACTGTACTTGATACAAATTAGTTAAAGTAAGGTAACTTACGTATTTGGGATCTTTAGTGTCTTGAAGAGAGAGATTACGTTTCGGTTAGTGAGCTGGCTTCATCAACCAACTCGAGTGTCTGAATTGTGAAGGATACATATAACTTGGAACAGTTGCGTTTTAAGAAGATACAGATCTAAAATGTCAGAGATGGCATTCAAGAAGGAGGGGAGAGTGTAGCCGTGTAAGAACAATTAAGAAACAGCTTTAAAGACTGGGACTCAGTGTCAGGGGTTATGTTGTAGAAACGGGCTCAGAAGAATAGTCTAGCGCTTTTTAAAAAGATAATAAAACGAACACATGTTTTGTAAAAGTTTTATTAAAATACTCCTTTAATGTGAATAAAATGTTAAACAAAAATAACTCGGAGTAACACGTGCACTTATTAATTTAACGTGGTCGGTATATCAATCGACATAAAATCCCGTATACAAGAATCCCGAGCGCATCTACATTATCCTGTATGAATAAACACGAGTGATCATTTGAATCATTCGTATCTGCGTGTTAATGCAAGATTAAATATATGACCTGACATGGCGAGTTGTCCACGTCATCTGGCGCCATTGCACCTGTTGTATAGCGTGATTGATTGAATATTTGAATACGTTGTTATGCATACCATTTTCGAGTCTAAGCTACTTCAGAAAACTTAATTATGATGCAAATACAATCTTATCTCGACTCAGAATTCCAGAGGAGGTCGGACAAGCAGGCCGCAAAGCATCATGGGTTTGAGCGCCTAATCCCAGGCGTGGCTTCAATGACTCTTTGACTGTCGTGGAGTGAACATCTCTCTGAGTAAACAAATATGGAAGCATTCGAAAGACAAGATTGTTAGGCTGCAATACTTCGTGAAAATAGCATGTTATTGCTGTATTGTTGTGATCCTCATTATGACGTGTGAGTTACTACACCATGTTTACCTTATATTAAATTGCATGGGACGTGCTGTCTTTTATAGCTTTATAAATAATCCGCGAAGGAATTGTGTTTTAAATATTCCCAATAGCAAGGCAGCTCTTCTTTCTATTAAAGTTGCATGGAATCTCCGTGTATTATCAACGTGAAAACAAGCGCAGTATTTAAGGTTGGTATCCTACAATGCACCACAGTTGACTTGTTTCAAATTTCCTCTTTGCTGTTTTCAATATTGTACTGTAATTTTATAAACACACTGTATAAATTATGGCGTAATATTTCAAATATTAAATTCAACCCTTTAGTTTGACCCTATTCCTGATGAGTGATGAATTTGCTAATGAAAACATCCAGCATATGCTTTTGGATTTCAGTGTGGATCATATATTGACAGCGAATACAATTGATGATGGATATTGGTTTTCAGATGAGTCTGAAGGTATTGTTATTTGTATGTATTTTATAAATTTTTGCTGAGTATGATGCCTGTTTGTATCTAGTTGTGCATGGTTGTTTAAATGTGCAAACTGTAGTTTAATATTTTTCAATTTTCATCTAAACATTGTTCGTGTGTTGTTCTAATACACAGACCTAACACAGTTAGATATATTAAGAATTTAGAGGTTACATGTGCTTTTGTGTAAGGTTGCTAATTTTAAAGACGACGGTGCATGAAATAATAATTTTCTTGTTATGATTTTGTAGAAAGAGATTCACCGTACTTGAGTTGTTGGCTGGTCTTGAGCCTGTTCAGGATGGATATGATGAAAGAGGTGATCAAGGTGATAGGGCAGAAAGTGATGACAAGTTAAGTGATGAGGAGGAAGAAATCACCCAGGCTGTACCATTCAAGTGCATCTGTGCTGCTCATGAGAACCACTACCCTACCAACCAACATCATTTGGAAAAGGCATACCTCACTCTTCATGAAAAAGATAAACCAGTGAATGTAAGAATACGGCCAGAGCCATTGAATCCAAGGGACCCAAGTGCAATAGCAATTGATCAAGAGTATGGAACTGGATGGCCCCATGTTGGTTATATATTGCTGTTGAACTATGCAAGTATCCGCACCCATTAATTGCTGCAAGAGATGTCGTGGATGTCTATGTTCAGCATATCAAGTATAGGGTTGAATTTTTTAAAATAGGATTTTATCCAAAAAATTTTGTAGAGACATGGTTTGTGCATGGGAGACTCAAGTGGTAGGAAAAGCATGAGTGTACGTTGACAGATGTTTTTTTATATAAATAATAGCAACTAACTATGTTTAGCAAGTTATTGAAGTGCATTCATTTTAATTGGCTAACTTTTTACATTTTTTCCAGCATTTTTTAAACAAACCACAGGTTATAAATGATAACTTTCTATATCTAATTAAAACAATCTGTCATGTACACTCATGCAAAATAAGTACATAACTGTAAAAATGTGCTTTAGTAAATAAATGAGTAATTTATCCATGCACATGATGCACTTGACCTACTTTGTTTGTATTTTTTCAGATTAAAATTAATGCAACAATAAAACAAGAAGATGTCCATTTATATAATGCACAAGTCAATTCCTGGAGTAACCATCCCCCCAGGAATTTGCCTGATAGACAGTTCACGGGGGTTGGGAATTTGCCTGTCATAACGTGCACAGGGGCCGGGTATTGTTATAGTCGCTGAGGACCCCAGGGATTTGACAAATAGTTTCACTCTTGCGGAACTTACTACCTGTGCCATGCGAATAAAGTTTATAATATTCCATGGCAGTTTAATAGTATGTTATTAAATGACTATGCCTATGATATGCATTCATCGTCCCCGGGGTGGGGCATTTTCCACTCTCAGCTTGCCCAAGGGCCGTGCATTAGTCTCCTAGTTGTGTCCCGGCACACTTCTTCTGTTAACTTTGCACTATCGTAACCAGTCAAATCAAATGCCCGAGGGTGTTCCCCGGGGAGAGGGTGTTCCCCTGGAATTGACTCGTGCATAATATTTATTAAATTTCAATAAATTGACCACAATAACATGCCTATGATAATTATAATTTGATATACAATATGATGTATATGATAATACAATAAAAATTTGTTTTATTGTTTTAAAACAAGTGGAGCTCTCTGCTTGTTTAAAATGGGCTGTTATAACACTGAGTTATCCATGCTCAGGATTCTGCAGCTCGATTTGCAACAAAAACATCGGGATCAGGCGATCAGCTCGTATGAGAATATGTACACGATCCAGTCGCGTCGGCCAGAGACAGAAAAAAACTTTGAAAATCGCACAGATATAAATTCTATAAAAATATTGAAACAACTCCTAAGTCTTCTAAATACTATTTTAACACTTTAACAAAAATTCATTGAAAATATAATCTTTGATGGCGCAAATTCTTTCCAAGGTATTAGACGCCATTTTAGCGAGCGTCGAGTTGACAATAGTCGCTTCAATGGCCAATATCTCGAAAACTGCAGGGGGATCACCGGGATCATTCCTGCAGATTTAAAACTTGTATGTTTTTCTTGACGACTGCCAAAAATGAGGAAAATTGAACCATGGAAATTCTAGATATTTCATTTTAAACATTGTAAACATATTTAGACTTGAGTCAACACGTCGCGGGGAGTCGTCTAACTTCAAACATCAAAATAACATTGAGAATAACGTTTAGATCAGATATTTTTGCAAATATCACCAGATCTTTAGCAGTCGTACTACTACACTTGAAATTTTGCAAGAAAATTTTAATATTAATGTTTTTTCTCGATTTATTTTCCGTCGAATACAAATTTTTCTGCCCAAATTCTGCAGAAAACACGATGGAAAATACAGCGATCTCATTGGTCGAGAGCTCACGTGACAACTCGCTAATTGTTTTCCAACCTCCTCTGTCAGAATTCGTAACTTATTTTATGAACAGATCGAACCAATCATATACATTGATGACAGCGCCATATCATAATTTTACTTGCTCATTTTTACTTGCTCATATTTTTCCAGGCAGCCGTCATTGAATTTACTTTGCTGGGGGTAAAGTACATGGGAAAAAATAATGGTGGTCATGGTGGATGTATTGTGAACATGGCATCGGGTGCAGGTATTTATTCTCTAAATATTTAAATACTAGAAAAACATGCTTGAGGCAAACCTATATGTATCATCAGTTCATCACCTTGAAAATTACTTCACCGAACAGAAAGTTAAGTCGAACCTCGTGAAAGCTAATTTACGAGCTTCCATTGTCATGGTGTCTAGAATCGGTGTTGCACTTCTTGGTCTTCCTCTCCCCCCTTCGTGAAGGCCTTTCGATGAACTTGGTGTTTCTTATTATAGAGTTAAATAATGTCATACAACATATTGCCAATCTTCTCCGGCAAGTTACCACAATTTGACTACCAGGTGTTCATAGAAAGAACTTGAATCTCTGATGAGTGATATTGTGCTTAAGAGGCTGTCCGCCTAAGAGCGTTCCAATCGTTTTCGCGTCAGAAATTAAAAGTCCTTAATTTTTCATTTAAAAGGACTTGATGTATAAGTTTCAAAATGGGTATTCTTTTGAGCTCAATCTTTTTTCCGTTCAGATACAAAACCAATTTCGTTTTCTAGACTAGACACCCGTTTTGAGGCCGATTCCGTACCCGAAATTTGCCAAAATCTAGAGGTGCGCTGCAGGAAAACAAACAAGTGTCAGCAAAACATTTCTATACCATAATATTAAGATACATTTTAATAGTTCATGACTGCAAGATCGTGGACAAACATAAAAATATAAATAAACTAAGCCCACTTAAAGACGCCCGTATGCTAAGGCGATCCGAATATATAAAAATTTAAACAAAATTAGAGGCTAAAATCTCGAATTCGGCGCCGATATTGAGGACAAATCACATTCTATAGTCGAGATCTTACCACGTGCTGATAGTTTATTGTATCAAAGTTGTGGGTATCCCTTTGAATTTGACGCGAGTTTAACTTCCATCTCGAGTAATACGCCATTGTTTACAATATCTTGTTGTCAAGTGACGGGCGCAGAGAAATATTCAAACACGCATTATAGTAATTATACGGCATTCCCGAGCAAAGTTTTATCCATAGAAACATCTTTGACGTGTAATTCTTTCAAACTTTTCTCCTGGACCAGTGTTTTAGCGAAAGAATGAGAATATTTAGTAAGCCGTGTTTCATTCGAAAAGTGTCTGTTTCAAAAACTTTCACTGACAAGCTAGCTGTACTTTATATATAGCAATATAATTTCCACAATCAAAGTTCGTTTGCTTATTATATCCTTTGCTACTGCAGGTTTTGCACAGTATCTTTGACATTGCCATTTCTATTTACCATAGTTTCCTGTCTGACTTGGCGTAAAAATAATGAATGTAATGTAAACCCGACTGCATGGCCAAAAATAGAATGTTCTAATTATTTACAGGCATGTCACCGAGACACATCAGTGACATCACGCAACGACTGATATATTATTAGACCAAAAGTAATTCGAGGTTCTGCAGTCATACTCTCGTAGTCAAACAAGATTGCTATCATGGAATATTATTCTCTAAATTATATTCTCAGGAATATTTTCTGTAGCAATCGTAAACAACTGACTTTGCTTCGGTCAGCCTTTCTGTTCTTTTTGGGTACGCAAGTTTTAACATGAGTAGTTGGCCACAAATTGTGTCCATCCTGAAACAGTTATACCCTAAATAGATAGACATTTTGGTTTGTTTATACACCGAGAAAGCGCCGGGCTTCTACTATATTATAATTTTGGCCGTTTAATGTCACAGCAAATTCGCATTTTTCTGATACTTATACGACTATTAATTGTGCAATCGTCACAATATGTTACAGTAACTCTAGGCAGGGGGGGGGGGCAGGCAACGCCCTGATCACAAGTGAAGCTGGTTGTATAAAATAAAAGGTAATTTATATAAGTAGCTACAGGTCTCGCAACGCCCTGTTGTCAAATTGAAATGGCATCGTCTACGACAGTGAAGTGTTTTATGTAGTACTACTTAGTGAATGCAAAAATGATATAACAGCCCATTTGCAGCGATGTCATCTTTCAAAAGGAGGAATAAATAGCGAAGAGGAGTTGATTATGATGCGGGCTGGATTCCTTTACCCAACAGAGCAACAATTCCAAACAATGTTTGTATGCCCGAGACATCCAGCGAATCTTGGCGAATTCTGGGGAAACCAGAGTCGAACTTCGGCATGCCAATACCCTGAGCACAGAGGAAAGAAGAAAGGCGTCAAGAACGATAGAGTAGTGTCCGTAAAGATCGCACGAGAAGTCCAGCAAATGTTTGCTGTTATTATTCCCGTCGGAATGGGTAAGGCTATGACGAATTTTTTCGAACTGATAGCGCAATACACAGTATATTCTCTTTAATTGTGCCCTTTCCAAACATTACCAAATTTAAACCAAAAACCATTATACACAGTCTTTTAAACGATTATTTGGGTTGCTATTGTTTCTAGCTATATGCAACAGCTGTAGAAAAAGACATAATGAAAAACTAAAGGAATATCAGCCATCGCGCCTTGAAGAAGACGACACCTAAGATGATGGTTTAAAGCCGCAATCAAGGTAAAATATGCTGCTAAAATTTGTGATAATTATAATTATTATACATTGTACTTGGTAAAAGCAATTTGATTGGCTAATAGCTTACAGTTAAATCGCGCAATGATGCAACCTACAGAAAATTCAGTTATCTGCTAGCAGATAACTGAGTTATCTGCAAATGAGCCTGTGATGATTAGCAAACGATATCTACTTAACACAAACAAATGTACAATAATTATAATAGCCTGCGAACAGGCCCTGGGTTACGGGCGGCGCGAAGAATACAGGGCCTGCACGGAACTATAGGTTTTCTTGGTAGTGGCGTTCGTATAGAAACGCAGGCTTCTGATTGGCTTACACTCATTGACAAAATTACTAAAAATAGCAAATGTCAACAACAGCATTTTGAAGAATTTGAACTTTATTCATTTTAATATTATATATTATACTATCGAACAAATAAAACTAGAAATGGAAACCAAAAGCAATAGCAAAGCATCACAGCAAAAAAGTCTATCATAAATGACTTGAATCTATCGCTTAAATCCAATACACGAAACTATAACAGTATTCTGAACTTCGTCTTCGGATTGACATCGGACTATAGTATACTACATTTTGAGGTCGTCGTGGCTTCACGGATTATTCTCATTAGTGAGCAAGTCAGCAAGCGAAGGCATACAAAAGATACCCAAATATGTACGAATAATTATATTGTTGATCCTCGCTGGCATGTCATTTAGATAAATATATATCGTACATTAAACGTTGTACTATTTACTGTATAAACTGCTGACAATTTCGTCGTCGATACGGCTTCCACTATTGGCACACTCGTGATTTCGAAGAAATTAATAAATACATGCTCATTTATCATTTATTTAGACCACAGTTAGTAAAATTTTAGACATATTCGGTATTCCAAATCCCAATCTATCTGACCGTATTTTAGTAATAGCTTCAAATATTCAGAACATTGTTCTTTCAGTCGCACATAGTACAAGTATTACTTGTACATGCAATGCCAATGGTAGTATTCTATTCGGCTTTATATTTGTATGTGTATTGATATCTATTTAATATTTGAAGAATTCTATATTTTTCCGAGTAATATATTGTGCGGCCCGCTAATGCTTTGTATTATTGTTCATGTTGCACAATGTACACGCCTTGCGTCAATTTGACAGTTGACAGTTTATTTATCGCAGTCGACGCTGATTGGTTAACGTTTAGCAGATGCGAAAAGGGGATGATTGAATAAAACGCATGGTTCCGTGCAGGCTCACCTTTCTCCCAGTGAGCCTGTTCGCAGGCTAGTTATTGTGTGACTTTGATTAATGTTATTGTATATAAATAGACATTGATATTTTTGTTTTATTGTTGCATTAATTTAATGAAAATTTACTCACAAAGTTGGTCAAGTGAATGTATAAACTATTTATTTATTCATTTAGTACAGCACATGTTACAATTATGTACTTAATTGCACGAGTGTGCATGACAAACATTGTTTTAATTGCATTGATTTTACCTAGTTTTTGTTTAATTTACAAATGCTGAAAAAAATCTAAAAAGTGAGCCAATTGAAATAACAGCATTTCTATAACTTGCTAAACCTAGTCAGTTGCTATTATATCACAAACATCTGTGAACGTACACCCTTCC